AAGGGCCGCGTAAGGGGCCGGCGCGGGGCCGCGTAAGGGCCGCGTAGGAGGCGACGCGGGGCCGCGTAAGGGCCGGGCGGGGCCGCGTAAGGAGCAGGCCGGGGCCGCGACAGAGTGGGCGGCGAGGCCGCAGGGAGAGGGCGACTCGAGGGGTCGCTAAAAAAAATCGCGCTCGGGGGCGCGCTTCGGTGGGCCCAAAAAAAAAAATTCGGATCCTGGAGGGACCTAGCTCTATACCATGTGTAAATGAGTAAACAGGAATGAATGGACTATGAATGAAAAGCAGTACAAATATGAAACCCTAACTGGGTTGTACCCCCTATGGGATACCCCACTACAGCCTACACAGCAACTATAAGCTATAGATATGTTCTGACAACAAGTCACCTACAACTACACCATCACCTTCACGACGCCGCCACTCGATACGTCTGGCATCGCAACCTACCCAAGCCCGCGACATGGCACTCGCAGCATTCGCCGCCTGGCTACCGATAGCAGAGAGGGAATCTGGAACGCAGCTGAAAAGCTTCCAGTCAGACGGAGGTGGCGAGTACACCTCTCAAGCGCTTCAAGCAGTTCCTGGCGGAAAGGGGGATCAAGCAACTCCTCTCCCTTCCCTACGCAACATCACCAGCAAGGTGTTGTAGAAAGAATGAACAGGACTCTGCAGAACAGCATGCGCAAACTGCTACGTGGCATGCGGCTACCCAACCACCAGTGGCCAGCAGCAATGGACCATGCTGTCATGCTGCACAATTTGCTGTCGTCGTCGTCACTTCTCCCGAACAACGCATCACCGCATCTGCTGTGGACAGGGAAGCAGGGCAGCACAAAAATGTTACGAGTTTTCGGGTGCATGGTACAGTACCGACCCCCAGAAGCACGAGCGGGAAGATTTTCGCACGGGCACAGGGGGGACTACACCTCGGCATCGAGAAAAATTACAACGCGTGGAGAATCTTCGACGTCCATACAAAAGAAACAGTGGCAGCACGTGATGTGATCTTCTACGAGCGACTCACCCTTCAGACGTACCTCGCCAACTTGCACGAGAATCAGGACCTCACAGGTGGTTTTCGTGGTGACCGAGCCTTCGCGTCAGCAGCGGACGAAGCAGACTGGGATGAACAGAACGTTGACAACGCATCGGAAGAAGCCGGACCTCTCCCGTACTGCTCCGTCGACGTGCCCATGGACGACGAAAATCCTCGCGACAGTAACAACGCCGAAGTCTTCTACCATTTCGCCGACAACGGCTACGTAACACCTGCCGACAGTCAACACAAATGAAGCAGAAAGGATAGGACCAAACTTCATCCCCGATCCAGAAGCAGGAGACGAAGCAGCTTATCCCGAGGATACCACACTCCCCCGATACTCACAGACTGGGCTGCAAATCCTCGGCCTCGTCACCGCAGTCCACGGGAACGTCGGCAACTCTCTTCCTAAAGAAGCCTGCGACAGTTCAGCAGGCTCTAGGGGGGGAACACAGGGAGAAATGGCGTGAAGCCATGGACAGAGAATTAAAAGCGCTGGAGGAACGCAACACCTGGAAGGTCGTTCCCGCAAGCGTGGCAAGGAACAAGACCATTCTCACCGGGAAGTGGGTCTTCCGCATCAAAACGAAAGCAGATGGTACAATCGAGAAGTTCAAGGCACGATGGGTCGTGCGAGGATTCGACCAGGAACAAGGGCGAGACTTCACCGAGACATTCGCCCCAGTTAGTCGACATACCTCACTCCGAATTCTTCTCGCCGTTGCCGCCATGAAGAAGAAAAAGCTGCGACAAATTGATGTTGCCAACGCCTTCCTCTACGCACCTGTCGACGCCGACATCTTCGTCGAGCTACCTCACGGTACCCACGGGGAACCCAATCAAGTCTGCCAACTACTAAAATCCCTCTACGGAATCAAACAGGCCCCACGGCTGTGGCAACAGCACTTACACACCCGCCTCATCCGCATCGGATTCCGCCAACTGCCCCATGACCAGGGCATGTACCGACTCACTAAAGACGCCAACTACATCCTACTCATCGTCTACGTCGACGATCTCCTCTACATCGGTTCCACCGACGACGTCACCACCTGGTTCGAAGGGGAGCTACAGAAAGACCTCACGCTCACGGTTTCTTCTACCGTTACACAGTACCTCGGGCTCAACATCCGCGAAGAAGAAAACGCAATCTATCTAAGCGCCGAGAAATACGCCGACACGATCGCCAAGCGCTTCTCGCTCACACCCACCGCTATCGCCACACCATACCGCTACACGGCAGGAAACGGCCAAGGAAACTCCGCCCTACTCAAAGCTGCCGGAATACGCGACTATCAGCGAAAAACTGGGCTGTCTACTCTTCGCAGCCGTCACCTGTCGTCCAGACCTGTCCTACTCCGCTAGCCAGCTCGCTACTTATCTCAAGAGGCCTGAAGTAGATCACCTGGCAGAGCTCGATCGCGCACTGCACTATCTCGTGAGCACACCGACAATTGGCCTGACTTATTACAAGAACGAAGCTTGCGTCAACGAAGCTAATCGGCTATGTCGATGCCGACCATGCCGGCGATCCAGATAACAGGCGCTCTCGCACCGGCTACGTCTATCGTCTCGAGCCTATCGGACCTATCTCTTGGCAGTCGAGTAAGCAGGAACTAATCGCTCTCTCTTCAGCTGAAGCAGAATATATCGCCCTCTGTTCAACCACCAAGGAAGGACTCTACCTTCGCGAGCTGCTGGGAAGAAGCAAAGTTAGCTGAGTTACCCAACTTCACCCTGCACTGCGACAATCAATCTGCAATTCGCATCGCCAACAAAAGCGGATTCGCGAACAGAACGAAGCATATCGCTCTGCGATACTTCTTCGTGAAAGACGAGATCGAGAAAGGAAGACTCGAGTTATCCTACTGTCCCACGTCCGAGAATGGCAGCCGACTATTTGACCAAGAAGCTCGGAAAACAGAAGTTCGAGTACTGCATGCTGCTGACTGGACAAGGCCACGTCACCAGCAGCGACACTCCAGAAGCGAAGGGGAGTGTTGGGAACAATAAACCTTAAGCGCCTCTGTCGTGTCGAAACCCTGGATACAAAAGCGAAGCACTCCGAATCGAAGCATCGCGAAGTCAACCCTCGGAGGTTGGGGTAACCGCCTGGAGGTTACCGCGAAGGTCAAAGGTCAGCGACCTTTGACTGGACCAATACAGCGCGACAGCAAGGACACACAACTGACTCGACATTGAGCAGTTGCCCGAGTCGCACTGTATCGAATCGCAACAGTAATACAGTTATTATATCTATTCGTATTCCTTGTACTCTTATATAAAGCCTTGTATTTGCTTGTTTTAATCAACTTACTTTGCTCTCACATACTAGTGCAAGGTGGTTCAACCACTCTGTATTACAACGCTTCCGCTATTACAATCCTACTTAGTCTTGAACTCTACAAAGATCCTTAGGGCTTCTCAGCCCAAACAAATTATAAGCGCACCCCTTAGAAATCCTGATTTATTATAAGCGCATGTATAAACATATAAAAAACGGATTAAAACAGTAACGACTTCCGTTTTTGCAGCGAGTCCACATCCACTTCTACTCTGTTTCGACTCCCTCGAGGGCGGGCTCGCTCAGGAAAAGCGCAACGGCGCGAAGTTGACCTGACAGGGGGGCTCGGCTCGGGAATAACTGTTGTCTGTGTGCTGCGAGCGAGTGACTGCACTGCAGGCCATTGGTCGTACACTGGGGCAAGCCTGTGCGATGCGAACGAGCGACTGCAAGCTATTGGTTCGTACACTGGGCTGGGGCGAGCATGACACATTCCTATGCGAAAGTGACGTGTCCTTGCCCTTGTGCGCCAGCAGAGAATCGCCCTCGCGCGATTCTGATTCAGAACGCTCCACGCATTTCGATTTGAATGAGATTGCAATGCAAGACTCAGATGCACAGTTTGGTGAGTTTATAACATATTTTTGTGTTTGTCATTATATAAGCGCATACGCTTATAATTACCGTATGACTCATTTATAAGCGCACCCCCCTAAAAAACAGTGTTTTATTATAAGCGCAGATGCGCTTATATCCGGGGTGATACCGTAGTATGTGAGGAAATCGGCACCCGTTTTATGCCAGCCCGTCCAGTTGTATGATGTGTTGCTTTCTTCGCAAATCCACCCGACGTGCTTTAGTACCGAAGTGATGCAAATGCCTTGCACCTGGGCGCAACAAATGTTTTCGATGTGCCACCTTGAGCTCTAGCCACAAGCCACAATGTGCATTCTCATCACAGAGAAAGTTGGCGCTTTGATACAATGAAGCAAAAAAGCAGTCATCTTACCTGTACACATTGATCCACCTTGAGCTTTCGTTACGGTAATTCCAGGCGTCCCTTCCCTCCCCCCCATGTTCACATACCGTACGGTAGTTTATCTGGTATAACCATTATGGTAATACTTGACACAGGTTGAGTCATATCATCTCTAGACTAGACAAGGCCAGCTCTCCCTGGCCCTTCTGCCACCTCCCTCTCAGTCCTCCTCCAAGATAACATACAGCCTCCCCGCCCCGACCCCCTTCCACTCTCCACCACCCCCTCTCCATATAAATCCTCCTCCAGGATAATCGCATCCTTGAACTTGCCGTACAGCACCACCTTCAACCTGCCCATCCCATACCGTACAGAGCCATACTCTCCTTCAACCCACAGCCTAACCCCCCCTCCACCCCCTCTCCCTATCAATCCTCCTCCAAATTGATCGCAAACCTTGAACTTGCCGTACAGCGCCACCTTCAGCGCGCCCATCTGAGCCACAACCATACTCTCTTTCAATCCACAGCCTACCCTTCCCCAGCTTCCCACCCTTCCTCCCCATCAGCCCACATTGATGGCATACTCGAACGTGCCGTACAGCACCATTTTCAGGCTTCACCTCGCCCTCTGATACACCACCATACTCTTTTTTCAACCCACAGCCTACCCTCCCCACCCGTTCCCCTCATCCCCATCAATCCTCCTCCAGATTGATGGCATCTTTGAACTTCCCATACAGCACCACCTTGAGCGCGCCCATCTGCGCCACCAGGCTGCTCTTCTCCCCCTCCAGTGCCTCCACCTCGCCACTCGTCTTCTCCCTCAGCGCCTCCAGCTGCCCCTCCACGTCGTCCTTGTCTGTGTGCAGGAACACCTCCCCCGCCATGTACCGCACCGTGTCATCGTCACACAGGATTAACTCGTTACTTGGCGTCTTCGATGTTCTCTAGATAGTCCTGCCAGGGGGGAGAGGACAAGGTGTGGGGGGGGGGGAGGGGGGAGGAGAAGAACGTGAATGGCAGAAACACCTCCCCCGCCATGTACCGCACCGTGTCGTCATCGCATAGGATCAGCTCGTTACTCGCATCCTCTAGGTTCTCCAGGTAGTCCTGCCAGGGAAGAAAGCACAAGGTGAGGGGGGCGGAAACAAGGACGTGAATGCCAGCCGTGTCTTAGTCTCGTCAGCTCATTGCTCGCATCCTCTATGTTCTCCAAGTAGTCCAGGCAAGGGGCAGAAGAGGAAAGGGAAGAGGGGGGGGGTTGGGAAGTACATGCAGGGATGAACATGGAGCCTTGTCCTGCATAGTTGGGCGTTTTCCTTTTCCCTGCCATGCTCTCCCTTGTCCGAACATGGACCTGGCAGGGAGCACAACAGGCAGGAATCGGGGGGAATACAGGTGGAAGACGGGGGTTGGGCAGGCAGGAACAGTACAGAAACCTTCCCCTGCCAAGTTCTCCCCCTGTCCAAAAATGGTCCTGGCAGCGAGCACAAAGGTGGAACAGGGGGGTTGGGACAGGCAGCAATAACAGAAGAAACCTTCCCCTCCTGCCAGGTACAGCACTGTGTTGTCATCGTCATCGTTCGAAAAACCACCCCTTGCTCCTTCCACAACGTATTGCACTGCCAGGAATATTCAGCGCCTTCCATGCTCTCCGTGTGAGCCAGCGCAGACATAGCAGGCTTTGCATCGCATCTTTGCCATCCATGCAGGCACGCGCATGGCTTGCCAGCTTCACCATCCCACTCGGGTAGGTTAGGCTGGTGTTGGTCCGTCACGCAAATACGGGTGCGTTCCTCTAAACGAACAAAGTATGCCATTGTGAAACCACGTCAGCTTGAGTTGGGTCATCCGGTTTGGGCAGTGATGTGTTGGGTCAGATGCTGCAGTGCAAGCCTTCTATTCTCGAACTCCTCTCACCTTCTTGGCTTTGATCTCGTCATCCAGCTCGTGCAGGCGGTTGTTGAGTCGCATGCTGCACTGCAAGCGACACGCCACACAGCCATATAAAGCTACTCGATAAGTGCCCACTCACCTTCTTGGCTTTGATCTCGTCGTCCAGCTCGTGCAGCCGGTTGTTGAGCCGCCCAAACTTGTTGATGTTCTGCTGGTCCTCCCATGTCACCTCGGGGTCCGCGCCCTCGCCCTGCCACACCAACCACACATGCAAGGAAGCACAACCACATTAAAGCCCTGTATAGTCCGCCATCGTATCTCCTGCTGGTCCTCCCATGTCACCTCGGGGTCCGCGCCCTCGCCCTGCGCAAACCAGAGATGTGAACCGCATTAAGGACACAGCAGAGTCTGTCACCGTGTGTTCTGCTGATCCTCCCATGTCACCTTGGATTCAACTGGTACTAGCCCAAGATCGTTGGGTATGATGGACATTGTTGAAACATCCGAAGCGATATTCGGATTCTAATCGTGATGCCTAGCGTGCCTCGTTGTGCCCACGGGGAATCAGCGAGACCCAATCGCACGATCGTATACCAATCGCACGATCGTATACCGCCGCGCGTACCTTCTGCATTATCCAACGCTTATGCTTCTGCCTTTCCGCCGGCTAAGGCGCTGCACCAGCGCTAGGAGAGCGACCGAAGGATTGGTTGCGCTAGCGAGAGAGTTAGAAAGAGAGCGAAGCGACTCGCTACGATCCTGCTACGAGTGACTCGTTATCTGACAGGTGATGTCGTACGCCGTCCGCCGCGATCCTGCTAGGAGCTTTCGTGGTCGTCGTAGCGAAAGGTGCTGCTGGTCGTGGGAACTGCTGACAGAACGAGTGAATCTCGTTTGATTGAAGAATGTTTTGAGACGTCTCGTGGGAACTGCTGACAGAACGAGTAAATGTCGTTTTGAGAGGCGCTGTCGTCTGCACTGCCTCCAGTTGCGGGGAGCAACTTGCGGGTCGGCGGTCACACCACTACGAAGCTACGAAACAGTGTGTGTGTGCAGTGGTGAAGGGCAGGCTACAAGGTCGCAGAATGAGGAGGGCATTTCGCAACTCGTCCACATCCCTACTCTCACGGGATCAGATTCGCTTTGGGAATCTGAGGTCAGGTTTGGCGAGAAAAGCGAAAACCGAACGGAACTCTGCTAAAGGCAGTGCGATACATGCGAACCGACGGTGGAGAACAAAGTCCAAAGGAGACAGGAAAAATTTCTTCTTCATTCTAACACCGGGTAACGTAGGCGAGATCGTCTCAATTTGTCAGCTCTCGCACCCGGTTTTCGACACCCAGCGAGTTCGCACCATAACCAATCACGACCGTCGCCACGAACCGATGTTCTCGCTCTTGGATGCTGCGACGAATGCGTCCTGACCTGCTGTTGCCGCCGAACCTCTGCCTTCACCTCACACACTGCACGCTAGCGGGTTGCGGGCTAAGACTACATAGACGCGAGCGCGACCCATTAGTTTTCTATGTCATCGCGCGCCGCACTACACCCCGCGTTTACCGCCGGAACCATGGCTTGCGCGTGCGATGGCTTCGCGTCTCGCGCCCCTCGCAGGCTTTAGCGGGCTCCGCGGGGAATTTAGGCTGGCAGCATTCCTCGCTATGGAGCGATTCGAGACTCGCCAAAGGGTCCATTCCCGTTCCAGCGTTTCAAGGTATAGCCAGCACAGCTTGTCGGCAGTACAGAGGAGGTTTCAGTCATTAGGGTTCTGAAAGCTGGGAGAGCGTGGTGCGTTTGTCACGCTACGTCGCTTTTGACGAATTCTCACCGCTTTGAGGGGTGGCGCCTTCGCTGGAGCACCCTCTACCTCTCCGTCTTCGATGCACACTCCTCAATTCTCGCTTTCCGGCTCGATTCTCGCTTTCCCGCTCGATTCTCGCTTTCCCGCTCGATTCTCGCTTTCCCGCTCGATTCTCGCTTTCCCGCTCGATTCTCGCTTTCCCGCTCGATTCTCGCTTTCCCGCTCGTTCTCTGGACGCGGACGTCGGAAGTCCCTCTTGGCCTTACAGCATCTCTCACATTCGATTCCTTTCCAGCTCGCTCGCGCAATTCCCGCCAACTCGGCCAATACTTCCCGCAATTTTCGCTCTCCCCCCCGTCGTTCCGCTGGCCTCCCATTTCTCGCTGCTCCTCTCCTTTCGCCTCCTTTCCCCCCTCCCCTCCTCCCCCAGCCTCTCCCCGCGCGCCCAAGCCCGTTGCGCCAGTGGCCATGGCGCGCAAGAAGTCCGGCTTCGCGCAGCTGCTGTCCAAGGGGTAGGCGGAGGGGAAGGGCGGAGGGATAGGGCTTTTGGGTGGGGCCGAGGATTCGTGTGGATCATGAATGAATGGGAGCGAAGGTGCAAGAGGGGAAGCGAACGGAAGGGCGGCGATGTGACGTGATGTTAGTGCCAACAACAATTGCCACGCGCGTTCCCATCCCACTGTCCCTCCTGCTAGAAACTGTTTCACCTTCCCCTCCACTCATCCCCGCGCCCGCCCACTTCCCCTTCAGAACCCGTCCGCTTCCTCAGCATCCGACCCCCCTCAGCTATCACCTCAGCATCCGACCCCCCTCAGCTATCACCTCACCTCACCTTCCCCCACCCTCCTCTGCTCCTCCGCCCAGTTCCCCCCAACAAGCTAACGCTGCCACGGGTGCTGCTCTCCGTTCCCCCTTTTTCCGGCCCCCCCCCAGCATGTCAGGCCCGCCAGCGGAGTCGCGCCCCAAGGTCCCCCTGAAGCGCGGAAAGCTGTCCCCCATGCGCGCAGTGCCCCCCCACATCCCTCGCCCGCCCTACGCTGACAGTGGCATCTCCCCACCCTTTACCATGGAGCCCCAGGTGCGTGCTGTGGTGTGGTGTGGTGTGGTGTGGTGTGGTGTGGTGTGAGGGTGAGACGTGCACTGTGGTATGAGTGAGCGCGCATGAAGGCTCAGGTGTGCACTGTGGTGTGGTACGGTGTGGAGGCACAGGTGTGTGCGAGCATGGGCCACAGGTGCATGCGATGGAGAACAAGAACGCGCGGTTCTGAGTGGTTCTGACAGGCGCTGACTGGCTGTGGGTGGTTCTGAGCGATACCTACCTCCCGGTCACTGGCAGCTGAGAGGGAAGGAGGAGCATGGATGGAGCCACAGGTGGCTGTGCTGTGCCCTCCTGCATTGCCCAAAGTGACTTTGGAGTCGACTCAAAAGTCACCTCGCATGGATGGAGCCACATGTTGCTATGCCCTCCTGCATTGCCCAACCCCCTTTGTGCTGCTGGCAGTGGCACCACGTGGTGCTGGCAGTGGCGCCACGTGGTGCTGGCAGTGGCGCCACGTGGTGCTGGCAGTGGCGCCACGTGGTGCTGGCAGTGGTGCCACGTGGTGCTGGCAGTGGCGCCACGTGGTGCTGGCAGTGGCGCCACGTGGTGCTGGCAGTGGCGCCACGTGGTGCTGGCAGTGGCGCCACGTGGTGCTGGCAGTGGCGCCACGTGGTGCTGGCAGTGGCGCCACGTGGTGCTGGCAGTGGCGCCACGTGGTGCTGGCAGTGGCACACATGGTGCTGCTGGCACAGGAGGCGCTGCTATTGCATCACTTTCAGCGTCACTCACTCATGCTACCAATCCCTCTCTCTCACTCACCACACCCTCCCGTCTCGCTGGTACATGGTATGGCATGGTATGGTGTGGTATGGCGTGTTATGGTGTGGTGTGGCGTGGTATGGTGTGGTATGGCGTGGTATGGTGTGGTATGGCATGGTATGGTGTGGTATGGCATGGTATGGTATGGCATGGTATGGTATGGTATGGTATGGCAAGACATGGCATGACGTGGTATGGCATGGCATTGCTTGCAGGTGCATGGGGAGGAGGGGCAGAGGCGCATGAGGGAGGCGGGGCAGCTGGCAGCACGAGTCAGAGACCACGCCGGCACACTTGTGAAGGTGCGTGGGTGGGATGGGTGGTATATGTAGCTGTATGGGATTGATGGAGTGGTGCATGGGGAGGCGGGGCGGCTGGCAGCACGCGTGAGAGACCACGCCGCCACGCTTGTGAAGGTTAGTGGTGTTGTGGGTGTGTGTGCGTGCGGGTGGGGGCGGGGGCGGGTTTGGGCGTGGGGTTTGGGTGTGGGTGGGGGGCAGGGGGGATGGAAGGGCGTTTGTGCTGTACTGTACTGTACTCTGGGTTGCATTGTAACGAGCTGACTTCTGAGTCGACTCGAAGGGCGAAGGGCGAAGTCAGCCCGAAGGGCGTTTGTGCTGTGCTGTACTGTACTCTGGGTTGCTTGCTTGCTATGCCCCATGTTTGAGCATTCTAATTTTTAAAATTGCTGACGACCATTGAAAGTAAAGGTTTGGGCGGGCGACGGGTACCAGCACTCGCCTTCCAAATCCTCAGCTCACCTACCCCACCCGGCTGATCAAGTCCGTCCGAATGCACACCTGTCTGTGAAAGGGCTCCCACCCCAACCACACCTGTCTGTGAAAGGGCTCCCACCCCAACCACACCTGTCTGTGAAAGGGCTCCCACCCCAACCACACCTGTCTGTGAAAGGGCTCCCACCCCAACCACACCTGTCTGTGAAAGGGCTCCCACCCCAACCACACCTGTCTGCTCTGACTGACCTGCTTCCCCCATCCTCACAGCGCAGCGCGGCGTGACAACAGACGAGATCGACGGTGCGGGAACGAGGTGATAATTGATGCAGGCGCATTCCCCCTCCGTGCTGACTTTTGAGTCGACCCAAAGGTCACGGGTGGAGAAAGACGCGTCCTGCCTGCGTCTAGGACGCATGCGTCCACACGCAGCGTCTTAGACGCAGGACGCTAGAGGAGGGCCTTTAGGACGCATGAAAAGACGCATGCCCGGGCAGGGCAAAAAAAAACCCCCGGGCAGCCGAAAAATGATGTTGTAGGGTATGGGAAGGGGGGGTGGGGGGGAGAGGACGATGCACACATTTGAGGCAAAATCGTCCTCTTCAAATTTCCAGGGTTTCGGGTTTACGAAGGAGAATTGTCTTGGTAAACCCTCTAGGGTGTTTTTGATGGTCGAAATGGGTTAGGGGGGGTCGACATGACGCGAAATTGACGTCGCGTCGAAATCGTTAGGGTCAATTTCGCGCTGGGGCAACAATTTTTTTTCCGGTCAGCCCGGAAAAAATATACAGGGTGCGTCCTGCGTCTGGACACGCGTCTTGCGTCTCTGCGTCTGGACGCAGCGTCCAGACGCAGGACGCGTGCGTCTTTCTCCACTCAGGTCAAGATGATCATTGATGCAAGCGCATTCCCCTCTGTGCTGCCCCCTATCCCCGTCCGTCTCATCCCCATTCCCATCTGCGCAGCCTGGCGTGACAACAGACGAGATCGACTGTGTGGCGCATGACATGATCGTAGAGGCGGGCACATACCCCTCGCCTCGCCGCTCTCCATGGCCACGCCACGCCACGCCCTGTGCTGCCCTACCCCCATCTCCTCCGTATCCCCATCCTTACAGCCCGGAGTCACAACAGACGAAATAGACCGTGCAGTGCATGAGATGATCATAGAGGCGGGAGCATACCCCTCGCCGCTCAACTACGCAGGCTTCCCCAAGTCTGTGTGCACATCTGTCAACGAGTGCATCTGCCACGGCATCCCCGACTCGCGGCCGCTAGAGGTAGGCTCAGCTGGTCACCACTGTGGAGGTAGGCTCAGCTGGTCACCACTGTGGAGGTAGGCTCAGCTGGTCACCACTGTGGAGGTAGGCATGCATGTGTCAAGTCAACTACGCGGGCTTCCCCAAGTCTGTGTGCACATCGGCGAACGAATGTATCTGCCATGGCATGGCATCCCCGACTTGCGGCCGCCGGAGGTGAGCAGCAGGCTTGGATTGCATTGCATGTGTGACGAGACGATTCATCCACAGGAGCTGTCCGGTGAGGTGCTGGTGAAGGGAAATCAAGGTGTTTTGAGGTGAGGTGCTGGTGAAGGGAAATCAAGGTGTTTTGAGACGCGGTGTGTCTCAAAACACTCCTTTCACGCGGTGAGGTGAGGTGCTGGTGAAGGGAAATCAAGGGACAGCTCGCCGTGCAAATCGAGTCTCTGTGCTTCTTCTCCTTTCACACGCCTTACTTCACCACAAGATTAACCTCTCCTCCTCAGTGTGATGCACGTTTTGAGACGTCTCATAAAAACTTCTTTAACACGTCTCAAAAAAACTTCGTGTTTTGAGGCGTCTCAAAAAAACTACTTCTCCTTTCACACGCCCAACTTCACCACAAGATTAACCTCTCCTCCTCTCCTCCTCAGTGTGATGCACTTGGCATCTCAATGCCGCGCCCACTGCTCCAATTGCGTAACCTCTAGGCTCTCGATTCCATTGGCATGCTTTGGGCTCTCTATTCCATTGGCATGCTTTGATTTGAGTCGACTCAAAACGCTAACCTTCTTGTTTTGGTGCTGTTTGTGTCGCCCATCGTCGCTCAACCACGATGGGGACATAATCAACGTCGTGTCACAGTGTACCTTCGTCAGTGCCTCACGAGCCACTGTGTACCTTAACTCTCCACCCTTTCGTTCCCTGTGCTGCTTTTGTGCTCTCTGCTGCGTCCGCGCTGCAATGCGGCCACCCCACCCCACTAGGATGCGGACATAATCAGCATCGACGTCACAGTGTACCTCATCGCCCCACCTGCCACTGTGTACCTTGAATTTCCAACCTTTCCTTCCTTTCCTGTGCTGCTTCTGTGCTGCAATGTGACCACCCCACCCCACTAGGATGGGGACATAATCAACATCGACGTCACAGTGTACCTCAACGCCCCACCCTCCACTGTGTACCTTGGCTGGCTCGCTAAACTTTCTTTTCCTCTTCTTATTTTGTTCGTGCTTCTGTGCTGCAATGAGGCCACCCCACCACCCCACCCCACCAGGATGGGGACATAATCAACATCGACGTCACAGTGTACCTTAACGTGAGCTCTCCACCCTCCCCGCTCTTGAACCCCCTCTCCCTCTCTCACAAGCGGTCATTGTATTTAATTCCAAAAGTACAGGCATGCATATGTGTACCTTTATCCTCCAAAGACTGCAAGCCTACCACGTATATAACCACACACAAAGCCCTGTAAGGGAGCTCCAAGGTAGGCTCCAGAATGACATGTCCTCGTTTGGGGCGCCCACTAGCGGGTTCTCCACTTGGGCCGCTGTGTTGCACTTCGCCATATAGCTCACCGCCTGCCCTCTTACCCTCTCTCCGTAAGCCTTCCCACGCCCTTGTCCAACCGCTCCGCCTTTCCTCTTCGCCACTCACTCCCCCTCTCCCTCTACAACCCTTCTCCATTCCCCTTTGCACTTTTCCCCACCTCTCACTCTTCCTCACGTGCTCTCACTCACCCTACCCTATCCCTGTCCCTCTGACTCACTTGCCGGGTCACCACTCAAAGGCACATTGTAAAGCCCTTCACGTGTTACTCTCTCCCTCCATGTCCCCTCTCCGCTCGCCCTATTGTATATAGGGTTACCACGGAGACACGTCCAAGACATTTTATTGCGGCAACGTCTCTACAGCTGCCAAGAAACTAGTAGAGGTGAGGGGGGTGTGGAGGTGAGGGGGGTGTGGAGGTGAGGGGGGGTGTGGAGGTGAGGGGGGTGTGGAGGTGAGGGGGGTGAGGAGGTGAGGGGGGTGAGGAGGTGATGTGCGAGAGTGCGAGAGTGGTGTGACTGACTGACGGTAAGCTGACGGGGCTGGTTGGTCAGGAAGCTGCTTCTCTGTGTGACGTGCAAGGATAAGGAAGCTTCATTGCTTTTCTTTGTGCCAAAGACCGCGCTGCTTGATAGTTTGGCTCCATTCCATGCTCTTGCCTAGTGTCCCGATGCTGTGCGTGCGTGCATGCTCCTATGCTTGCATGCACATTCCCATGCTGCGCTCTTCGTACACCATTCTCCATATACCAATCTAATATAATGTGTATGTACTCTCCTCCTGGCATCAATTTACCACACCATGTCTACCCACCCCATCCCATCCCATCCCATCCCATCCCATCCCATCCCATCCCATCCCATCCCATCCCATCCATCCCATCCCATCCCATCCCATCCATCCCATCCCATCCCATCCCATCTCATCCCATCCCCTCACGTGTGTGTGGTTGGGGCCACCAGGTGACAGAGGAAGCGTTGAATGCAGCCATTGCAGTCTGTGGGCCCGACGCCGAGTTCAAGAAGATCGGCCACGCCATTCAGTAAGGGGGGCTATGTTGCCACGATCGTCCTCTGCCCCCCCTTCCTCCTCCTCCTCCTCCTCCTCCTCCTCCTCCTCCTCCTCCTCCTCCTCCTCCTCCTCCTCCTCCTCCTCCTCCTCCTCCTCCTCCTCCTCCTCCTCCTCCTCCTCCTCCTCCTCCTGCTCCTCCTGCTCCTCCTCCTCCTCCTCCTCCTCCTCCTCCTCCTCCTCCTCCTCCTCCTCCTCCTCCTCCTCCTCCTCCTCCTCCTCCTCCTCCTCCTCCTCCTCCTCCTCCTCCTCCTCCTCCTCCTCCTCCTCCACCCAAGCATCTCGTGCCATCGCCATTGAATATGCCAGCCAGTGTCCCGTCTAGCACGCCAGTTGCCATTCTAGTCTGCCCTGCTGTGCTCCTTTCTTGCATCCACATGAATTGCTGCTGTGTGTGCGGCGCACCATCGTGCCTCCCAGCAGTGCAGTCCGGCACAGTGCAGTCCGGCACAGTGCAGTCCGGCACAGTGCAGTCCGGCACAGTGCAGTCCGGCACAGTGCAGTCCGGCACAGTGCACACATGCTCTTGTTTCTTCGCCTCAGGGTTGATGTGCGTGTCGATTCGCATGCTGCCATGCCATGTGGTGTTATATCGTGGCATGTTAGTGGCATGTGGATGGCATGCGGGTGGCACGTTAGTGGCATGTGGGTGGCATGTGGATGGCATGGCATGTGGATGGCATGTGAATGGCATGGCATGTGGATGGCATGTGAATGACTTGGCATGTGGATAGCATGTGAATGGCATGGCATGTGGATGGCATGTGAATGGCATGGCATGTGGATAGCATGTGGATGGTGTATGACTTGGATGCCATGCAAACTGATGTCATCCCAATGATACCCCGCACGGGAACAGTGTGGTGTGCAAGTCTCCGTGAGCACTTTCTCTCCCTCACCCTTCTCCACGCCTCCCTATGCTGCAGCTGTCCTTCTCACAGTGCTGTGGCAGACAAGCACAGCTACAGTGCGGTAAGAAAGTCTCATCTTGTAATCATCTCATGATCCCTCAACCATCTCCGCGCCTCTCCCTGCTACCCCCCACTGCGCAGTGCTGTGGCGGACAAGACAAGCACAGGTACGGTGTGGTGAGAAGGCACCTACCATGTCTTGATCACCACTTTCTCCCTCACCCATCTCCACGCCACCCCATGCTGCCCGTCTCACAGCGCCATGGCAGACAAGCACAGCTACGGGGTGGTAAGGAAGTTCATCGGCCATGGTGTTGGCTCCGTCTTCCATGCCGGCCCTGCTGTGCTGCACTATCGTGAGATCGCCCCTCCTGCCCCCTCCTCTCCCCCGCTCAGCCTATTCTCCCTCTCTCACCCTCATCCTCACCTGTTCATCGGCCATGCTGTTGGCTCCATCTTCCATGCCGGCCCTGCAGTGCTGGACTACCGTGAGTTCAGCCCTGCAGTGCTGGACTACCGTGAGTTCAGCCCTGCAGTGCTGGACTACCGTGAGTTCAGCCCTGCAGTGCTGGACTACCGTGAGTTCAGCCCTGCAGTGCTGGACTACCGTGAGTTCAGCCCTGCAGTGCTGGACTACCGTGAGTTCAGCCCTGCAGTGCTGGACTACCGTGAGTTCAGCCCTGCAGTGCTGGACTACCGTGAGTTCAGCCCTGCAGTGCTGGACTACCGTGAGTTCAGCCCTGCAGTGCTGGACTACCGTGAGTTCAGCCCCCTGACCCTCCTCTCGCCTCCTCCCGCCACTAATCTGCCTGGTACACTCCCCTATTCGCCCCCGCTTAAACCCCTTATTCACCTCTTCATCGGCCCCGGTGTGGGCTCCGTTTTCCATGCCGGACCCGCCGTGCTACATTACCGTGACTTCTCCCCCTCACCCTCCCCCCATCCTGCCCCCCAGAGGGCCCACCGTGGCCCCACTCCTCTCACCAGTCTCCCTCACAACCTCCCTCATTCACCAGCACAGGCATCGGCCTGACCCTAGTGCTGCACTCTCCTGACAAGAGCTGTTTCCCACATCTCTTTCTCCCTCCCATCCCACCCTCTTTTCCCTCTCTGTTCCCCTGTACGCATCACTTTCGCAAGTCCTGCTTCTACACTCTTTTGCTCTACTCTCTACTTTTTTCCTCTCTGCTTGTCCCCTTTCTGCTTCTCTCGCCTTCACTTCTCCCCTGCGCCCCTCCCTCCTGTGCTCATCTCCCCTGCGCCGCTCTCCCCTGCACCACCAGGCAACAACGAGCCAGGGCGCATGCAAGTGGGGCAGACATTCACCATCGGTGAGCCATGCATGCATGCATGCCTCGGTCGGCTTGCACTCACCCGCATGGCATGCACACACATGCACTCACCCGCATGGCATGCACACACATGCACTCACTCTCACTCACATGTGCACACATCCATGGTTGCTGCATTGTGAGAGTCGACTGACAAAATTAGAAGAAAGAAAGAGGATTGCACTAGCAAGAAGGGGGATACAAATAGCAAACCCTAGAAGGGTTGTACTCGCTATAGAGCACCCCACTACAGGCTAGAGCATAAGATAACATTCTGACATCGACTCAAAGCACACCTGCTTATGACACCTTCGCAGCCTCGTTCCAGCACTCTTCCCCTCTCCTTGCCTATTTCCCCTTCCCGCCATTTCTTTCCTTTCCTCCTACTCTCCCTCATCTTGCTCCCTCCCTCCCCACTCTCTCCCCCCTTTCTCAGAGCCCATGTTCACGATGGGGGGGGTGCGGGATGTGATGTGGGACGATGGGTGGACGGCCGTCACTGCGGATGGCACCTTGACAGCCCAGTTTGAACACACTCTGCTTATAACGGAGACAGGAGTGGAGGTGCTCACAAGGTGATGATTGCATTGCATGATAGGCTATGCCAGTAGTCACTCTGATTGAACACAACACACCCTGCTTATAACGGAGACAGGGGTGGAGGTGCTCACAAGGTGATGATTGCACAGTAGCGACTGCAACAGTTGCCATTCTGTTTGATAACACTTGGCTTATAATGAATACAGAAATGGAAGTGTCACGTAGGTTATTAAAACACAGAAACTGTTGGGCTGAGGTGCCCTGAGATCTTTGTAGAGCTTAAAGTCTGAGTAGGATTGTAATAGCGGAAGCGTTTGAATGAAAGTCCTTGAACCACCTTGCGCTAGTATGTGAGGGCAAAGTAAGTTGATTAAACAAGCAAATACAAAGGTTTATATAAGAGTACAAGGAATACGAATAGATAAGCTTAAACCGTTTTGCTGTTGCGATTCGATACAGTGCGACTCGGGCAACTGCTCAATGTCGAGTCAGTTGTGTGTCCTTGCTGTCGCGCTGTATTTGTCAAGTAAAAGGTCGCTGACCTTTGACCTTCGCGTAACCTCCAGGCGGTTACCCTAACCTCCGAGGATTGACTCGCGATGCTTTGATTCGGACTGCTTCGCTAGTGTCCTGAGTTTCGACACGACAGAGGCGCTTAAGACTTATTATTCCCAACACTCCCCTTCGCTTCTGGAGTGTCGCTGATGGTGACGTGGCCTTGTCCAGTCAGCAGCATGCAGTACTCGAACTTCTGTTTTCCGAGTTTCTTGGTCAAATAATCAGCTGCCATCTCGGACGTGGGACAGTAGGATAATTCGAGTTTCCCTTTCTCGATCTCGTCCTTCACGAAGAAGTATCGCAGAGCGATATGCTTCGTTCTGTTCGCGAATCCGCTTTTGTTGGCGATGCGAATTGCAGATTGGTTGTCGCAGAACAGGGTGAAGTTGGGTAACTCAGCTAACTTTGCTTCTTCCAGCAACTCGCGAAGGTAGAGTCCTTCCTTGGTGGCTGAACAGAGGGCGATATATTCTGCTTCAGCTGAAGAGAGAGCGATTAGTTCCTGCTTACTCGACTGCCAGGAGATAGGTCCGATAGGCTCGAGACGATAGACGTAGCCAGTGCGAGAGCGCCTGTTATCAGAATCGCCGGCATGGTCAGCATCGACGTAGCCGATTAGTTTCGTCTTCGTAGCTTCGCCCTTGTAGTAAGTCAGGCCGATCGTCGGTGTGCTCACGAAGTAGTGTAGTGCGCGATCGAGCTCCGCCAGGTGCTCTGCTTCGGGTTTCTTGAGATAGGTGGTGAGTTGGCTTGCGGAATAGGATAGATCCGGGCGACTGGTGACGGCTGCAAAGAGGAGGCAGCCCAGTTTCCTCTGGTAGTCTCGTATTCCGGCAGCTTTGAGTGGAGCGGAATTTCCTTTGTCGCTTCCTGCCGTGTGGCGGTATGGTGTGGCGATAGCGGTAGGTGTGAGCGAGAAGCGCTTGGCAAAAGTGTCGGCGTATTTCTCGGCGCTGAGGTAGATAGCATTTTCCTCTTCGCGGATGTTGAGCCCGAGGTACTGGGTGACGGTGGAGGAGACGGTGAGCGTGAGGTCCTTCTGCAGCTCCCCTTCGAACCAGGTAGTGACGTCGTCGGTGGAGCCGATGTAGAGCAAGTCGTCGACATAGACGATCAGTAGGATGTAGTCTGCGCCTTTGGTGAGACGATACATTCCTTGGTCGTGAGGCAGTTGGCGGAATCCGATGCGAGTGAGGCGGGTGTGTAGGTGCTGTTGCCACAGTCGCGGAGCTTGTTTGATTCCGTAGAGCGATTTCAGTAGTTGGCAGACCTGATTGGGGTTTCCGTGGGTACCGTGGGGGAGTTCGACGAAGATTTCGGCATCGACGGGTGCGTAGAGGAATGCGTTGGCGACGTCAATTTGTCGCAGCTTCTTCTTCTTCATGGCGGCGACGGTGAGAAGAATTCGGAGAGAGGTATGTCGACTAACTGGGGCGAAAGTCTCGGTGAAGTCTCGTCCTTGCTCCTGGTCGAATCCACGCACGACCCAGCGTGCTTTGAACTTCTCGATTGTGCCATCGGCTTTCGTTTTGATGCGGAAGACCCATTTCCCGGTGAGAATGGTCTTGTTCCGTGCCACGCTTGCGGGAACGACCTTCCAGGTGTTGCGTTCCTCTAATGCCTTCAATTCTTTGTCCATGGCTTCACGCCATTTTTCCCTGTGTTCCCCTTCCAGAGCCTGCTAAACTGTCGCAGGCTCTTTAGGAAGTGCGTTGCCGTGGACTGCGGTGACGAGACCAAGGATTTGCAGTCCAGTCTGTGAGTATCGGGGGAGTGTTGGGTCCTCGGGATAAGCTGCTTCGTCTCCCGCTTCTGGATCGGGTATGAAATTTGGCCCTATCCTTTCTGCTTCATTTGTGTTGACTGTCGCAGGTGTTACGTAACCGTTGTCGGCGAAGTGGTAGAAGACTTCGGCGTTGACACTGTCGCGAGGATTTTCTTCGTCCATGGGCACGTCGACGGAGCCGAACGGGAGAGGTCCGGCTTCTTCCGATGCGTTGTCTACGTTCTGTTCATCCCAGTCTACTTCGTCCGCTGCTGAGGCGTAGGCTCGGTCACCACGAAAGCCACCTGTGGGGTCCTGATTCTCGTGCAAGTTGGCGAGGTACGTTTGAAGGGTGAGTCGCTCGTAGAAGATCACATCACGTGCTGCTACTGTTTCCTTTGAGTGGACATCAAAGATTTTCCACGCGTTGTAATTTTTCTCGATGCCGAGGTGTAGTCCCCACTGTGCCCGTTGCGAAAATCTTCCCGCTCATGCTTCTGGGGGTCGGTACTGTACCATGCACCCGAAAACTCGTAACATTTTTGTGCTGCCCTGTTTTCGTGTCCACAGCAGATGCGGTGATGCGTTGTTCGGGAGTGACGACGACGACAGCAAGTTGTGCAGCATGACAGCATGGTCCATTGCTGCTGGCCACTGGTGGTTGGGTAGCCGCATGCCACGTAGCAGCTTGCGCATGCTATTCTGCAGAGTCCTGTTCATTCTTTCTGCCACACCTTGCTGCTGATGGGCGTAGGGAAGGGAGAGGAGTTGCTTGATTCCCCTTTCCGCCAGGTACTGCTTGAAGCGCTGAGAGGTGTATTCGCCACCTCCGTCTGACTGGAAGCTTTTCAGCTGTGTTCCTGATTCCCTTTCTGCTATCGGTAGCCAGGTTGCGAACGCTGCGAGTGCCATGTCGCGGCTGGGTAGGTTTCGATGCCAGACGTATCGGGTGGCGGCGTCGATGAAGGTGATCGTGTAATTGTAGGTGACTTGTCCTGGTTCTTGATTGAAGAGGATGTCGCTGTATACTTTTTCGAGTGGTGCGTATGCAGGTGCGCTCGGGTTGTGGTGAGAAGAAAACGGTCGATGGGGTAAGTCGGCTACGGGGCAGATGAGGCAAGTCCCTCGTGCACGTTGAAGTTCTCTGCCGTCAGGTAGTAGTAGTGAGTCCTTGTCTAGGACTCCTGCTCGTATTGTGTTATTTAACACCGTATTGCTTGGATGTCCTGTGCGTGCGTGCCAGATGTCTTCAGGGGCGCGATGTCCGGGTGAGCGTTGATACGCGTCGGAGTTGGAGTAGAAGCTGGCGACGAATTTGGCGCTTCGGTAGAATTCTCGTTGAGTCGGGGTCAGCTGCTGTGCGGGTGTTGGTGGTGCTTCGTCGACGATGACTGGTGTCGTTGTTCCTGCTGCTGCCGATGTTGTTTCTGCTGCTACCGATGTTGTCTCTCCTGCTGTCGTTGTTGTCTCTGCTGTTGCTGATGTTGTCTCTGCTGCTGCCGTTGTTGTCTCTGCTGCTGCCGTTTGTTGAATCGTTGCTAATGCTCGTGTTCGTTCTGCTTCAAGGATGGTGTGCGAGTACCAGAAACCTCCCAGGCTGAAGTCGGGATCGAGATCCGGAGGATGTGTCCAGTCGGTGAAGTTGACGATGGCGTCGCTGTCTGCAGTGCCCAGGTCGGGGACGAAATCAAGAACGAAGACGTTATTCTTCAACACTGCTCTTCCGATGTAGAGGCCGCCCTTCCCGTGGTATAACTTAAACTCCTGGGTGGTGTTGTCGGCTTCCAAGTGAATCCCTTTCGCCATCAGCTGGCTAACACTCAGTAAGTTATAACCGAGTCATTCTGCGATGAGTACCTTTGACATGTGCAGTATGACGTTTGTCTCTCTTGATTGGAGCTGAACTACTCCTTGTCGTCGTGTGCGCAGGTTCTGGTTGTTGGCGACCGTGATGACTACTTCTCGCTGGAGTCGATGTTCGCGTTGTACGAAGCGTCCGGAGGAGCACATGTGTTGTCCGCAGCAACTATCCAAGAACCAGGTGTCTTGCCCGGACGGTTCGCTTTGAGCGATGGCGGCGTACGTTGGATTCGGCTGGAGTGACTCGCGGCGAGACGTCCTGTTGTCGAGCTCTTCTTCCGGTGAGTAGTGGGGTGGTGACTTGGTTGTGCACGAATCAGTTATCTTCACCATGCAATTGACAATGCTTCTTGTTCCTTGTGCAGGTTGTCCAGTTGAAGTTGTTGAGGCTTGGATTGTGGTCGTCGGATTTGCTTGCGTTGAGGCAACTTGGGAGCTTGAAGGCCGGAGTTGTCGCTGTGGTGTTGTCTGACGAGACGGGCAATGCGTGCGAGGATGGCCCGAACTCTTGCAGATGTGGCAGAACGGAGGTACCGTCTTTACTTGTTGCTGTTGTCGATTGTTGTTGCCGTTGTATCGTCGCTGAGTGTGAAACGCAAACTCCGGTGCTAATGCTTTCTTCTTGTGTCTTTCTTCTTGCAGGTCCATGTCCTGCTGCTCAGCATGAATTTCGGCGCAGAGTGCCGCTTCGGAGATCCTCCCGTGTGCTCGTAATATGGCGCGAGTGGAGCGCCAGTGGGGGCCGAGACCGCCGATGACCACCGTGACAAAGGCGTCTTCTGAAATCAACCCGCCGCATCGAAGAAGCTTGTCGCGCAGTTCGCGGCAGCGGTTGATATAAGCCATGCCTTTCTCGCCTGGTTTCATTTCAATCGTTGTCAGCTGCGCCATTAACCTGCTTTGATTTACGCTGTCTGTTGCTTGATACATGTTCTTCAGGTGGTTGTACGCGAGCTCCGCGGAGTTGCCGCAGCCTCGGTAAGTCCTGATGTTCTGCTGCTGGGTTGGGGTGATGTTTCTTAGCAGTATCGTGTACGCCATCATTGATTGATAGGTGTACTGCTGCTTCTCATATTGCGTCCCGTTTGTTGGATATGGCAGGGACCCGTCGAAGAAGCCGAGAATCTGTGCTCCTTCCATCATCAGTTCGAACTCGAACGACCAGGTGAAGAAGTCTTTGCCGTCGAAAGGCTTTGTCGTTTGCAGTTTTAGGACATGCGCGAATTGCGATTGAACTTGTAACGCATCCAATGCCCTTTCTTGTCCCAGTGCAGGTTGCGGTTGCGGCATGAAGCTGACGGAGCCACGTTGGGGCTCGTACGGCGCAAAGGTAGGCTGCTGTTGTTGTTGTTGAATCCCGTGTGCGTAGGATGAGCCATCGAGGCTCATAGGAGTCACGTTGTTGTTGTTGCTGTTGTTTGACTGCGCAGGTACTCCTTGCTGGTGCTGCTCGTAGAAGGACATGAAGGAGAAGAACTTCTCCATCATGCTTGGATCGAAGCCTGCGGGAGTTTCCGTGGACCCAGCTGCTGGTCTCGTGGTAGTTCCTTCCTCTGTCAGTAGGCCAGAGGCAGGAGGTGGAGTAGGAGTAGTGCCTGGAGAGCCGTTGGAGGAGCTCCTCTCCTTCCTTGCAGACATGTCTTCTTGTATTTGAGTGTTAAAAGGAAAATAACTTTAAACTCTAACCGCTCTCATACCATGTTGGGCAAAGGTGCCCTGGGATCTTTGTAGAGCTTAAAGTCTGAGTAGGATTGTAATAGCGGAAGCGTTTGAATGAAAGTCCTTGAACTACCTTGCGCTAGTATGTGAGGGCAAAGTAAGTTGATTAAACAAGCAAATACAAAGGTTTATATAAGAGTACAAGGAATACGAATAGATAAGCTTAAACCGTTTTACTGTTGCGATTCGATACAGTGCGACTCGGGCAACTGCTCAATGTCGAGTCAGTTGTGTGTCCTTGCTGTCGCGCTGTATTTGTCAAGTCAAAGGTCGCTGACCTTTGACCTTCGCGTAACCTCCAGGCGGTTACCCTAACCTCCGAGGATTGACTCGCGATGCTTTGATTCGGACTGCTTCGCTAGTGTCCTGAGTTTCGACACGACAGAGGCGCTTAAGACTTATTATTCCCAACAGAAACCACATGTTTCAAAGGCAGCAAGGTTGCCATGTTGTGACAGGCAGTTTGCCCATGAGGTTACAATGCTGTTTCATGCTCGTTCTCGGCGAATCTCTGCGCAGTGTTTGCTTGCAACTTACCCTAAACATACCGTGCCATATTTAGGGGGGGTGTTCGGGGGGGTGTTCGGGGGGGGGGGGGAAGAGGAGGGGGGGGGGGGGGGGTGTGCATTTGAACTGCCGATTTGAAAGTGATGACAGGGGGTGGGGTTTATTGAACATACCGATAAGCTGTTCCATTTACACAGCACCAGATTCAGACAAAGTTCTGACTGGGTATAAAACAGAAAAGAATCAGTTTTGTGCCACTGCATACGGTACCATGCTTACTTTCCTGCTTGCTCTTGGAATGCGTACTCTATGGCCAATTGCACGATTCATACCCCTTGTAAACACAGATCTAGTTACAGGGAAAGGTGGGAATGGATGAATGAGGCTGGAGCAGCGATGCAGGTAAGGGGAGGCAGGGAGCAGCAGGCGGATGAGAGGCGGTGTTGTGCGGTACTGTAGGTGTGGTAGGTGGTTGAAAGGTGCATCACAGCAGCGAGGCGAGGAATGGAAGGTCAAAGCCGTCAGCTGGAGTGTCACCAATGGCGTCAAACACGGCATCGGCTGCTGAGAAGTCCTCGTCTTCCGTGTAGCTGGTGGGAGAGGGGCGAAGGAGGGGGAGGGGGGGCAGGTGGGGAAGGTGGGTAGGTGAAACAGCAGAACAGGAGCACAGGGTGCGAGTCATATGAGTCACCAATGGCGTCAAACACGCATCGCTGAAAAGTCCTCGTCCGCCGTGTAGCTGGTGGAACCGGGGTGGTAGGGGGAAGAGAGGCTGTGGAGGGGAGAGTGGGGGGGACGCCACACAAAAGGCGAGAAGCTTGTGTGTGCTGAGTGCTGAGGGGAGGGTTGATTCTTGAGGCGCCTCAGAAATAAGCTCAATGCATGGGGATGTCGCACAAAAGGTGAGACGCTCGTGTGTGCTGAGTGGTGAGAAGAGGGTGGGGAAAACGAGCTGTCAACATTCCCTGACAAAATGAGGGCTGAGAAGAGCATGGGTGGGCGTGCATGGAAAGCGAGAGAACGAGGATAGTAGAGGCAACATAGCAGGACGAACAGCTCTGGTGGGAAACAGGAAAAAAAAAAAAAAAGCAAACAGACCAACAAAACAAACAAGACAATTGAGGGGGAGAGGGGGAGAAGATAGAGAAAGAGGCAGCAGTACCCGCTCTTGGTGACGACACAGGTCATTCCGGCCGCCTTGGCAGCCGTGAGGCCGATGTGACTGTCCTCTATGACCACACAGCTGCCAACAGGGAAGAGGAGAGAGACAGGGGGTGTGTCACATGGTTTATGGGCCTCGAAGGGGGAAGTGGTGACATGACTGTCCATGACGGCCTCATGATGAGGCTTTAGCCGTTTCTGCAGTGAGGCCGATGTGACTGGCCTTTATCAAGCCACACTGCCAACAGCAGGGTATATTCATCCTTTGAAACAGCCCCATTGAAGGAGTGTCTGACTGAAAGATGTTTTAGTCGACCCAAAAAACCCGGATGAGAGTGTCCTCTATGGCCATACAGCTGCCAGCAGAGGAGTGAACAGAGGCATATCTCCTGCCTCCTCTGTGCCACAGCACAATGAAACGATCGAAAAAGAGCAGGAGGCAGAGAGGGCATGGGTGTGAAGTGAAGGAACATACCGTGCAGGGTTGAGGCTGAGAGTGGTGGCAGCTAGGTTGTAGATGGCCTGGCATGAAAGGCAAGAGGAGCATGAAAGGCAAGAGGAGCATGAAAGGCAAGAGGAGCATGAAAGGCAAGAGGAGCATGAAAGGCAAGAGGAGCATGAAAGGCAAGAGGAGCATGAAAGGCAAGAGGAGCATGAAAGGCAAGAGGAGCATGAAAGGCAAGAGGAGCATGAGGGGCAAGAGCAACACGGGGGGTATGACGGCAGGGCTGTCAAGTCAACATGAGCTCACTTGCGTGAATACCTGCACTTAGCCCCGCCACAATGAATACCTGCACTTAGCCCCGCCACAATGAATACCTGCACTTAGCCCCGCCACAATGAATACCTGCACTTAGCCCCGCCACAATGAATACCTGCACTTAGCCCCGCCACAATGAATACCTGCACTTAGCCCCGCCACAATGAATACCTGCACTTAGCCCCGCCACAGTGAATACCTGCACTTAGCCCCGCCACAATGCCTCTTCCAACCCACTAGTCCCAGCTTTTCCATTATAGCTCCATAGATCCAACAGGAGATCCTCTCCTGCCACGACCATTATCCTCTCTTGGATCCAACACAGGGTCCCCTCCTGGTTGGCTAGCCCATGCGTCACAAGATCGGGTTTCTTATTTGGTACGACATCGCCAGCCCACATCCACTCCACATGCCTGACGAAGTTGCAATAGGATGAAAACTTCACAAGTCACTGCCTCTCACCTCGCGCAGTCCCCTCTTATCCATCACTACAAAATACATCTGCATGTGTGCACTCTGCCCACCGGGTCGGGTTTCTTCTTGGCTACCACATCCCCAGCGCATATCCGCATGTGCTTGACCCCGATACTGGGCATATGTGCCCTCTCCTTGCCCATCCCCACCTTCGCCATTTCTAAATGACACACTCAACTCAAGGTTCAACTATCTGCCCTTGGCTTGTGAGCACGCTGCCCACCGGGCCAGGTTCCTTCGTCCACATGCCATCCCTGGCGAAGATCCGCATGTTCCTGCCTGTTGAAGCTCCTCTCCTCCCTGCCCAGCCCGACCCTAACCATATCGACATGATACATTCGATTCAACTGCAAGCACTCTCCTCACCAGGTCGGGTTTCTTCCTCGGGACAACATCCCCAGCAATTATCCGCATGTGTTTTTGGTTTGGCCCTCTCCTCGCCCATCCCCACCTTATTCGTTTCGACACATTCAATTCAACTGAATGCACTCTGCTCACCGGGTCGGGCTTCTTCTTAGGAACCACATCCCGGGCGAATATCCGCATGTGCATGCTGAAGCCCCTCTCCTCGCCCTGCCCCACTTTATCCATTTCTACACACGCGATACCTCAGCATGTGTGCACTCTGCTCACCGGGTCGGGCTTCTTCTTAGGAACCACGTCCCCTGCGAATATCCGCATGTGCTGCGCCCTCTCCTGGCCCACCCCCACCTTCCCCATCTCTATATTATACATTCAAGTTTCAACTGTCTGCCCTCTGCATGTGTGCACTCTGCTCACTGGGTCGGGCTTCTTCTTAGGAACCACATCCCCGGCAAATATCCGCATGTGCTGCGCCCTCTCCTCCCCCTGACCCACCTGGTCCGTCACTCCGTCTCCATCATACATCCAACTCAATGCGCTCTGCTCACCGGATCGGGTTTCTTCTTAGGAACCACATCCCCGGCGAATATCCGCATGTGCTGCGCCCTCTCCTCCCCCAGCATGACTCTCACAATTGCCCCCACCGCCTTCTCATTCGACGTGCTGCACACCGCCACCCGGACACCCGCTGCCAGTGCCTCGTCAATGAGGCTGGAGGAGAGAGGGGAGAGAGAGGAGAGGAGGAGATGCAATGATATGTGGTGCAGTAAGTAAGAGCTCGCTCAACAGCCCAGCATGACTCTCACAATCGCTCCCACCGCCTTCTCATTGGACGTGCTGCACACTGCCACCCGGACACCCGCTGCCAGTGCCTCATCGATCAGCTCAGCTGGGGGGGAAGAGGGTAGAGGGAGGGGTCGCACAGCTCTGGCTTGCAGTGGTATGAAGTGCAGTGGTATGAAGTGCGGTGGTATGAAGTGCAGTGGTATGAAGTGCGGTGGTATGAAGTGCAGTGGTATGAAGTGCAGTGGTATGAAGTGCGGTGGTATGAAGTGCAGTGGTATGAAGTGCGGTGGTATGAAGTGCGGTGGTATGAAGTGCAGTGGTATGAAGTGCAGTGGTTGGTATGAAGTGCAGTGGTATGAAGTGCAGTGGTATGAAGTGCAGTGGTATGAAGTGCAGTGGTATGAAGTGCAGTGGTATGAAGTGCAGTGGTTGGTATGAAGTGCAGTGGTATGAAGTGCAGTGGTATGAAGTGCAGTGGTATGAAGTGCGGTGGTATGAAGTGCAGTGGTATGAAGTGCAGTGGTATGAAGTGCGGTGGTATGAAGTGCGGTGGTATGAAGTGCAGTGGTATGAAGTGCAGTGGTATGAAGTGCAGTGGTATGAAGTGCAGTAAGTGCAGGCTCAACAGCCCAGAATGACTCTCACGATCGCCCCCACCAGCTTCGCCCCATTGCCCCAGCTCGTTGGCAGAATGTGCTGCACGCTGCCACCTGCACACTGCCACCTGCACACTGCCACCTGCACACAGTCATAGAACCACAGTCACACAATCACAGTAACTTCGACTCACCGCACCACGCCTGGCTGCAGGGGCAGCACTCCCGTCTCCACGAGCTGCATGAAGAGAAGGAACTTGTTGGATCACAGAGTCGTAAAGTCATAGAGTCACAACGATACAGCAACACACCCAAAGTCACAGTCACACGCTCACTGTGCGATGCCTGGTCGCAGCGGCACAGCACCCGTCTCCACGAGCTGCAAGAAGAGAGCCGTCTTGCTCCGTCGCACAGTCATAGGCGCACAGAAACACAGGTACACACTACCTCCACTGCACATACAATCACAGTTCCTTGGACTCACCGAGTTGACTTTTGAGGGGGGTACAAACACAGGTACACACTACTCAAAAGTCAATCACAGTTCCTTGGACTCACCGTGCCACGCCTGGTCGCAGCAGCGGCAGCGCACTGGTTTCCACGAGCTGTGTGAAGAGAAGCGACTTGCAGAGTCACACGAAACAGTCACACAGTCATAGAATCACAGTCATAGAATCACAGTCATAGAATCACAGTCATAGAATCACAGTCATAGAATCACAGTCATAGAATCACAGTCACAGCCACACAGACTCACCGTGCCACGCCTGGTCGCAGCGGCAGCACACCCGTCTCCACGAGCTGCATGAAGAGCGCCGTCTTGCACAGCCACACAGTCACACAGCCATCGGCCAACAGAAACACAATCACACAGTACCTGCGCTGCACGTACAATCACGCCACAGTCACTATGACTTACCGTGCAACGCCCGGTCGCAGGGGCAGGGCACCCGTCTCCACGAGCTGCATGAAGAGCGCTGTCTTGCTCTTATGCAGGCACATGGCCACAGAGTCACAGTCACACACAGTCACACAGTTACAGTCACTACTATCACTCACCGTGCCACGCCTGGTCGCAGGGGCAAAGCACCCGTTTCCACAAGCTGCATGAAGAGTGCCGTCTTGCTCTTGTGGAGCCCTGCCACGAAAGCTGCTCGCTCTGAAGGGTCGATGGGCGCTGCTTGTGGCCAGCCCACTTGATTGAAGTAGTGGGTCATTCTGGGAAGGGAAGCGAGGGTGAGATGGAAGATAGGGGGGGAGAAAGGGGGATGCAAGTGGGCATTGAAATGTGCTGTCTTGCTTTTGTGCAGCCCCGCCACGAAGGCTGCTTGCTCTGCGGGGTCCGTGGGGGCTGCCTGGGGCCGGCCAGCCCACTTGATTCAAGTAGTGGGTCATTCTGGGCAGGATGAGAGGGGGGGGAGAGATGGGTGAAAGGGGAGGAAAGAGAGGAGCGAAGATTTGGCCCGGCGTCGGACGAAGAACGGAGGAAAGGAAAGCGCGGCAGGAGAACGTGAGGGATGTGTGATGTGAGTGCCAGCAGCCAGTTTCGACCGCTCGTTTCTGCCACTGATTGCCCTTGCAGGGGAGTCAGCAAAGAGCTTCAAAGATGTGCTGACAAACGCATGAGAGGGTGTATAGTAAGCATGAAAGAAGAATGTCAAATCAGGGATCTATGGAATGCGAGGAAGTGTGCGTGCATGCATGTTGCAGTGCATACCGCTCCTTGCCGCCTCCAATCTTGAGCAGCTCGCCATAGAGTGGCACGTCCCACGTCACTCCCAGCCCTTTCTGCGAGCACGAGCCAGCGCAGCACAGCAGAGCAGAGCAGAGCAGAGCACAGCAGAGCAGAGCACAGCAGAGCAGAGCAGAGCAGCGTGGCAGAGGGGAGAGAGAATGAGGAGAGAGCAGCATTGAGCAGCTCGCCATACAGCGGCACGTCCCACGTCACTCCCAGCCCTTTCTGCGACAGGGAGGGATTGGAATGAGGGGCATCGTGCGGCATCGCGGGAACAGAGGATGAGGATGAGGAGAGACATGGGCTGGCTGGCAGTTGCTCAAGCCTCAGCACCTCCCCACGGAGAGCACCTCCCCACGGAGAGCACCTCCCCACGGAGAGCAGAGCACCTCCCCACGGAGAGCAGCTCCGCACGGAGAGCAGCTCCCCACGGAGAGCAGCTCCCCACGGAGAGCAGCTCCCCACGGAGAGCAGCTCCCCACGGAGAGCAGCTCCCCACGGAGAGCAGCTCCCCACGGAGAGCAGCTCCCCACGGAGAGCAGCTCCCCACGGAGAGCAGCTCCCCACGGAGAGCAGCTCCCCACGGAGAGCAGCTCCCCACGGAGTGCAGCTCCCCACGGAGCAAACGGCTCACGCCCGCTCGCTCCCATTTCCTGGGCCTAGTGCACATTGTTGTAGGTATTGAATGGATGGACCCAGGTGGTGCTCGTGCTGCTCGTGGTGCATGTGGAGTACGCCCGTTGCATTGCAGGCGAGGGGGGGTGAAGCAGAAAGAGAGAGTGAGTAGCAGGTAGCTAGCCATAGCGATGGCATTTCCAAGCCATGTGCACGGCCCGAACCTAGTCACCAGCTCACCGCCAGGTATCGCCTGGTTGTGCTAGCTGGTAGTAACACAGTCGCACCCCTTCAAACGCCTGGTTGAACGACCCGCGGTGGTCGTCCCTCTCTGCGTCCACCAGCACTTAACGACAACCACACAGCTCGCATATTTCCCCCTTCCCCTCCCTCCCCTCCTCTTGCCCCGCGCAACCCTCTCACCTCACCTCTTCAAACGCCTAGTTGATGTGGAACGACACGCGGTGGTCGTCCCTCTCCGTGTCACACACAGCGCAGCACATGCCTCTTCCCCCCCCTCCACCTCCCCTACCTTTCCCTTGCCCCGCGCAACCCTCTCACCTCTTCAAACGCCTAGTTGATGTTGAACGACACGCGGTGGTCGTCCCTCTCCGTGTGCACCAGCACCGACCGACAGTCACACAACACACGTATCTCCCCATTCCCCCTCCCCCTGCCCTCTCGAGGTGATTTTTGAGTCGACTCAAAAACGGACCGACAGTCAGTCACAGCACACATGTATCTCCCCATTCCCTCTCCCCCTACCCTCTCCCTCCCCCATGCCACCGCCTCACCTCCTCGAACGCCTGGTTGAACGACACGCGATGGCCGTCCCTCTCCGTGTCAACCAGCACGCCGTCGCAGTCGAACAGCAGCGCACACATACCGCTCCTCTCTCCTCTCCCCCTTCCCCTGCACCCCCACTCCCCTCGCCCCCATGCCACCGCCTCACCTCCTCGAACGCCTGGTTGAACGACACGCGATGGCCGTCCCTCTCCGTGTCAACCAGCACGCCGTCGCAGTCGAACAGCAGCGCCTCGGGGAGGCTCGCCGCATCCCCCGCCGCCGCCGTCGCCGCGACGACGGAGTGCTGTGCGGCACGAGCCGCAATTCCCCGCGGGATGCGACGCGCGTCGCTCGCTGACGACAACGACGGCGACGACGGAGGGCCTCCTCGTCGCACTTCCATTGGCGACGCGGCGTCGCCTACCGTTGCGAAAACGCTCTTTGCGGCATTGCGGCGCTGAACTCCAGCGGAGCTTGCAGCGGGGATGGCGGCAAGTGGGGAAGAGGCGCGGAACCGCGCGGAAAGAGAAGCGATGGCGGAGAGGCGGAAGGCGGGCGAGGGAGCAATGGCGGCGGCAGGAGCCATGATGGCGCGAGTGGCGGGAAGTTGAAAATGGCGTTCTGGCCTCCGGGTGAGCAGTGGCGCTACGCTGTCCTGGTCAGGCCGTTGGTAAGAATGAGCAGTGATGCGATATACACTTGCGCACTCTGTACCGTTACTACGGTGTACAATTTAATTACCTGTAAAATATGGCTATACAATCTTTACGTTTCTTGACTAAGGACTAATTTATTTGTGAAATTGTTGGAGTCGAATATGATACGCTCGAGTCACTTTCACAAGTCGCCTTCCACAAAATCGCCACCACAAGCGGGTCACTTTCCGCCCTCTCGAGTTGCTCTTCACAACTTCTACCTCTCCGTCTGTGGGGGTTCCGTGTTCTGCGCTCAATCTCCCTTCCCTTCGCGTCACTTCATCCGCAGTAGCACCGCCTACCCACCTAGGCGTTCTACTTCCGCGGCTGTTACACGCAAAAACTGACGTAAAACGACAAGAAAGAAAGGAAAAAAAGCGAGTGCAGAAGCTTGCTGTTGCTCCAATCCCTAGCCGCTTTCGCTTGACGTTCCTGCGCCGAACGCGCTCCCAACCCCACGAACCCACTCGCTCCCATTTGCCGCCTGGTGCGTTGTGGCCGTTCGTCCATCCGCGACCTCGCATCACCGATCCCGTCGATCCCGTCGATCCTCACCTCCTCCCGTGCATTCGCGCCATGGCTCTGCTTCACTACGGCTGCTCCGCATCGCTGCTGCATCCGCTGCACCAACGCGTCGCCTCGCCAGCACCATTGCCATCGCCCCGTGTGCCGTCGATTCGGTCGTCCATGCCGATCGGACGGCCATCGCGAGGTGTGCCAGGCCGCGGCGTGGGTCGGTCAGCGTGGCGAGGCGGCGCCGTGGTGGCGCGCACGTCGCTGTGGGACGCGGTGCAAGGTGATACGGGCGGACAGATAGTAGGAGGGTGTTGGCAGGGTGCATGGAAGCACAGATGGACGGACAGGCGGTCGGACGGGCGGTCGGACGGAGGAGGCAGTCTCTTTCTCCTCATCCCCAAGTCACAGGCAGCACTTTGGCGACAACAGCAGGGTGGACACGTGTCTTGTGTCAGAGAAGCCGTTGAAGCGCAGCGATGGGAAGGGCGGCAAGTACCGCCCGTGGGGATTTTTTGAGAATTCTAAAAAAAAATATCTGCCCGTGGGCTAGTCCTGAAGGGCATCCGCCGCGCCCAAATAACACCCTCGTTTTGACCCAGTGGGTAGCGAGGCGGTATACGGCGGGGCATGGCATGATTTGACGCTTTTGTTTCTCAACTACCACCCCCCTCGTCTCGCTTCCGCCTGCTTTTCCCGCCTCCCTCCCCCTCACCCCTCCTCTCCATCCCTCCCTCCCCGTCCTGCCCTATCCGTTCGTAATCATGTTCCACTGGCAGCAGTCAACAGCTGGGCGGCAGCTGTCGATTGGTGAGAGTAGAGAGTGGCAGCGTCGCGTGGGGGGAGAATCTCCGCTGGTGAAGCAGCTTATAGAGTTCTCAAAAGCAACTCCAACGTAGCTGGGGCAAGCAGTAGGGAGTGGTAGCGTGGGGGAGAATCTCCGCTGGTGAAGCAGCTTATAGAGTTCTCAAAAGCAACTCCAACGTAGCTGGGGCAAGCAGTAGGGAGTGGCAGTGTGGGGGGGGGATCTCCGCTGGTGAAGGAAAGGAAGGGAGGGCCAGGCAGGCAGACGACGAGAAATGAGTGTTGTTCTGAGACGTCTCAAAGCAACTCTTATTTCTCGTCGAGAGTGGCAGCGCCGGGGAGAATCTCTGCTGGAGAGGGAGGGCAACGAAGGGCCAGCCAGACCGTGCTGCTGATTCACGCCCTCAATACCCCCCCTCCCCCCCCCCCCCCCCCCCCCTCTCCTCCTTCTTCATGGTGTGTCGCAGGCAGCGGCAGTGGCGAGGGCGGGGGGCAGCCGTGGGGGCTGGCAGTATCAGGGGAGGAGCCGCTGGGGTACAGCGATGAGGAGGTCGAAGGCATCGTGCCTCTCACTGACGACGCAGAGGCGTTTGGGCCTGAGGTAGGGGTGGGGGGGGGGGGGGAGGGGGGGGCGGGGGGTGGGGGGTGGCAGGGGGCGGGGAGGGGTGTAGGGGGTGGGTGAGAATGTGGGTCTGGAGCTGAACGGGGGAGGAGGGGAGATGCGGGAAATGCGGACTGGCGATGAGGAGGGTTGGGGAGGAGATGTGGGGGCTGTGGACTAGAGATAAGGAGATGTGGGGGCTGTGGAGTAGAGATAAGGAGAAGGGGGGGTGGAGAGAAGGGAATGTGGCCCGCAGGGCGGAGGCCGGGCGACGGGAGAGACTGTGGTCGGGGTGCGATGATTATGCCCTCGACGGGGTGGGCACTCGGAGATGATGGTGTCGTGGTACAGGAGGGGGGCGATATGAAGCCAAGGGTTCCTAAGAGATATGAAGCCAAGGGTTCCTAAGAGATATGAAGCCAAGGGTTCCTAAGAGATATGAAGCCAAGGGTTCCTAAGAGATATGAAGCCAAGGGTTCCTAAGAGATATGAAGCCAAGGGTTCCTAAGAGATATGAAGCCAAGGGTTCCTAAGAGATATGAAGCCAAGGGTTCCTAAGAGATATGAAGCCAAGGGTTCCCAAGAGATATGAAGCCAAGGGTTCCTAAGAGATATGAAGCCAAGGGTTCCTAAGAGATATGAAGCCAAGGGTTCCTAAGAGATATGAAGCCAAGGGTTCCTAAGAGATATGAAGCCAAGGGTTCCTAAGAGATATGAAGCCAAGGGTTCCTAAGAGATATGAAGCCAAGGGTTCCTAAGAGATATGAAGCCAAGGGTTCCTAAGAGATATGAAGCCAAGGGTTCCTAAGAGATATGAAGCCAAGGGTTCCTAAGAGATATGAAGCCAAGGGTTCCTAAGAGATATGAAGCCAAGGGTTCCTAAGAGATATGAATGAAGCCAAGGGTTCCTAAGAGATATGAAGCCAAGGGTTCCTAAGAGATATGAAGCCAAGGGTTCCTAAGAGATATGAAGCCAAGGGTTCCTAAGAGATATGAAGCCAAGGGTTCCTAAGAGATATGAAGCCAAGGGTTCCTAAGAGATATGAAGCCAAGGGTTCCTAAGAGATATGAAGCCAAGGGTTCCTAAGAGATATGAAGCCAAAGGTTCCTAAGAGATATGAAGCCAAGGGTTCCTAAGAGATATGAAGCCAAGGGTTCCTAAGAGATCTGAAGCCAAGGGTTCCCAAGAGATATGAAGCCAAGGGTTCCTAAGAGATATGAAGCCAAAGGTTCCTAAGAGATATGAAGCCAAAGGTTCCTAAGAGATATGAAGCCAAGGGTTCCTAAGAAATATGAAGCCAAGGGTTCCCAAGAGTTATGAAGCCAAGCGTTCCTAAGAGATATGAAGCCAAGGGTTCCTAAGAGATATGAAGCCAAGGGTTCCTAAGAGATATGAAGCCAAGGGTTCCTAAGAGATATGAAGCCAAGGGTTCCTAAGAGATATGAAGCCAAGGGTTCCTAAGAGATATGAAGCCAAGGGTTCCTAAGAGATATGAAGCCAAGGGTTCCTAAGAGATATGAAGCCAAGGGTTCCTAAGAGATATGAAGCCAAGGGTTCCTAAGAGATATGAAGCCAAGGGTTCCTAAGAGATATGAAGCCAAGGGTTCCTAAGAGATATGAAGCCAAGGGTTCCTAAGAGATATGAAGCCAAGGGTTCCTAAGAGATATGAAGCCAAGGGTTCCTAAGAGATATGAAGCCAAGGGTTCCTAAGAGATATGAAGCCAAGGGTTCCTAAGAGATATGAAGCCAAGGGTTCCTAAGAGATATGAAGCCAAGTGTTCCTAAGAGATATGAAGCCAAGTGTTCCTAAGAGATATGAAGCCAAGGGTTCCTAAGAGATATGAAGCCAAGGGTTCCTAAGAGATATGAAGCCAAGGGTTCCTAAGAGATATGAAGCCAAGGGTTCCTAAGAGATATGAAGCCAAGGGTTCCTAAGAGATATGAAGCCAAGGGTTCCTAAGAGATATGAAGCCAAGGGTTCCTAAGAGATATGAAGCCAAGGGTTCCTAAGAGATATGAAGCCAAGGGTTCCTAAGAGATATGAAGCCAAGGGTTCCTAAGAGATATGAAGCCAAGGGTTCCTAAGAGATATGAAGCCAAGGGTTCCTAAGAGATATGAAGCCAAGGGTTCCTAAGAGATATGAAGCCAAGGGTTCCTAAGAGATATGAAGCCAAGGGTTCCTAATGATGGCCCTGCCGCCCCTGTGGGAGGTGAGGTGCCGCCACTGTGGGAGGTGAGGTGCCGCCACGATCCACAAGTGCATTATCCGTCGTAAGTGTTCTCACCAATCTCTCTGTGGCGTGCTGTGGTGTGCTATGGTGCACCTTTCCATGTCCGCCTGTTTCAACCCCCTCCTGTGATTGCAGGCGTTGTTGCTGCTTGGCTTGACACCTGACGAGATTGAGAAGGTGTGTGTGCGTGTGTGTGTGTGTGTGTGTGTGCGTGTGTGTGTGTGCATGTGAGTGTGTGCATGTGTGTGGGTGCATTGCATGTGTGAGGAGTGTCATTGTCTCTGTATGTGAGTATGTAAGTGCATATGTGTGCTCCTTCACCTGCCCATCCCCTCGCGCTTCACGTTTCCTTCCCTTTCCCCAATTTATTTCGCTCCATCTTTGCTGCACTACCTTCTGTCCTCTTGCTGCACTACCTTCTGTCCTCTTGCTGCACTACCTTCTGTCCTCTTGCTGCACGACCTTCTGTCCTCTTGCTGCACTCTTACCGACTCGTTTCACGCATCCCTGCGAGTTGAATCACTTTTGGGAAAATCACACTCTCCACTCAGTTTTGATCCCAATTCCGTTCCTCTTTCTCCATATCCCTTTGTGTGCAATTTCCCCTCTCCCCTCTCCCCTCTCCCTTCTCCCCTCTAAACCCTCCCTCTGCCCCTCCCCACCATTGCCCCTCCCCCCTGCCCCTCCCTCATCACCCCTCCTCAAGCCTCTTCATCCTTCTCCACGCCTGTCCTTCCAACCACGAATCTCATCCTCTCCATGTTTCTCTCCCTCCTGCTGCATGTCTCCCTCCGTGTCACAGTTAGTGTGCACAACACAGTCAACACAACGCACCCTCATAGATGCACTGCCTCTTCCCCATATCCATTTATCTGCACTCACCGTCCCCTATCACCCCTCCCCCCTCTTGCCTCTCTGCTCCCTGCTCTCCCTCCTTCCCCGCTCCCTGCTCTCCCTCCTTCCCCGCTCCCTGCTCTCCCTCCTTCCCCGCTCCCTGCTCTCCCTCCTTCCCCGCTCCCTGTTCTCCCTCCTTCCCCGCTCCCTGCTCTCCCTCCTTCCCCGCTCCTGCTCTCCCTCCTTCCCCGCTCCCTGCTCTCCCTCCTTCCCCGCTCCCTGCTCTCCCTCCTTCCCCGCTCCCTGCTCTCCCTCCTTCCCCGCTCCCTGCTCTCCCTCCTTCCCCGCTCCCTGCTCTCCCTCCTTCCCCGCTCCCTGCTCTCCCTCCTTCCCCGCTCCCTGCTCTCCCTCCTTCCCCGCTCCCTGCTCTCCCTCCTTCCCCGCTCCCTGCTCTCCCTCCTTCCCCGCTCCCTGCTCTCCCTCCTTCCCCGCTCCCTGCTCTCCCTCCTTCCCCGCTCCCTGCTCTCCCTCCTTCCCCGCTCCCTGCTCTCCCTCCTTCCCCGCTCCCTGCTCTCCCTCCTTCCCCGCTCCCTGCTCTCCCTCCTTCCCCGCTCCCTGCTCTCCCTCCTTCCCCGCTCCCTGCTCTCCCTCCTTCCCCGCTCCCTGCTCTCCCTCCTTCCCCGCTCCCTGCTCTCCCTCCTTCCCCGCTCCCTGCTCTCCCTCCTTCCCCGCTCCCTGCTCTCCCTCCTTCCCCGCTCCCTGCTCTCCCTCCTTCCCCGCTCCCTGCTCTCCCTCCTTCCCCGCTCCCTGCTCTCCCTCCTTCCCCGCTCCCTGCTCTCCCTCCTTCCCCGCTCCCTGCTCTCCCTCCTTCCCCGCTCCCTGCTCTCCCTCCTTCCCCGCTCCCTGCTCTCCCTCCTTCCCCGCTCCCTGCTCTCCCTCCTTCCCCGCTCCCTGCTCTCCCTCCTTCCCCGCTCCCTGCTCTCCCTCCTTCCCCGCTCCCTGCTCTCCCTCCTTCCCCGCTCCCTGCTCTCCCTCCTTCCCCGCTCCCTGCTCTCCCTCCTTCCCCGCTCCCTGCTCTCCCTCCTTCCCCGCTCCCTGCTCTCCCTCCTTCCCCGCTCCCTGCTCTCCCTCCTTCCCCGCTCCCTGCTCTCCCTCCTTCCCCGCTCCCTGCTCTCCCTCCTTCCCCGCTCCCTGCTCTCCCTCCTTCCCCGCTCCCTGCTCTCCCTCCTTCCCCGCTCCCTGCTCCCCTCCGCGAGACCCCCCTTGCCGCACGGCAGGTTCGAGCAGCGCTGGCTGAAGCAGAGGCCAGCTTCATCTCGGTACGCTCCTCTTCTACCCTCCTCTCCCCTCTCCCCTCTCCTCTCCCCTCTCCCCTCTCCTCTCTCCTCTCTCCCCTCTCCTCTCTCCCCCCTCTCTTCCTTCTCACACCCCTTCGAGCAGCGCTGGCTGAAGCAGAGGCCAGCTTCATTTCGGTACGCTCCTCTTCTGCTCCGCTGTGCTGCTCCCCATTGCTTCTTCCCGCTGCTGCTCCTCTTTGGCATCGTTCCCTGTTTGTTCCTAGCTTTGTGGCTCCACTAGCTGCGCCATCCCCTGATTGTGTCACCCACACTTTGTGTCGCCCACTCCCACTGTTTGTGTCACTCACTTTGTCACTCACTGAGTGGAAATGGCACACAGAAGCTGGTGTCACACGGCAGTTCGTGTCACCGACAGCGTGATTCGCAGATGACATGAAAGTATTACAAAAGCCCTATAGATAAACTATACCAGCTGGCCTCACACTTGCTTTCTGCACTCCAAACTTCTCTATAAGCCACACCCGCTGCCCTCCCACACCCCACTACCCACCCTCCCCATTCCCATCTACTCCTTTCTGCCCCGTCGAGCCTCAAGGCAGAAGCATATCTGGCTGGTTCGACAAATATATGGAACGACATATAAAACGTCTTAGATTCCTGATTTCCCAATTTTCTCCCCGATCCCTCCGTCCCACCTTTCCTTCCCTCCCACCCCTTTCCACCTCCACTTACTCTCTGGTAGGCACAGTGCGTTGGGCCACCTTATGTAGGCATGCCTTGTCTACTATCGGTTGAAGACGATAGCCTCACAGCTCCCGTTCTGCTCCCAGCCATCTTGCCCTCTCAACTGTGCGCCACATCCCACTCTTCTCGCTTCCCCCAACCCTTCTCATCAACCCTTCTAAACCGTACCCAACCGCCTCGCCCCTCCCTCCCCATCAGCTGTTATCAGCAGACGAATCAGTGGCAGACGTCACTCTGTGGAATACCCTTTCTCACTCACACTATCCTGACGAACCCTTCTGTACCGCACCGAACCGTATTGCTCCTCCCCATCAGCTGCTGGAGCAGACGGCTCAGTGGCGGACGTCACTCTGTGGGACGCCACGGAGAGGCCAGCCCCTCCCTCTTTACCCTCTGTCTGTCCTTGCGTCCCCATCAACCCTTCTGAATCGCACCCAACCGCACCCAACCGTCTTGCCCGTCCCCATCAGCTGCTATCAGCAGACGAGTCAGTGGCGGATATCACTCTGTGGGACGCCATGGAGAGGGCCGCCCAGCCCTTCCCCTCCGTGCGTGCGCCATCTGTAGCCGCTGCCCCGCAACCACAGGTGCGCTGCCTGCTGTGCTCTGCCGGCTGTGTGCTGCTGCCTGCTGTGAGCTGCTGTGTTGGGACAGAAATCTTGCAGCCAAGGCACTCACTAGTCATCATTCGTCCCCATTACTCCTGCATTTGTCCCCTCCGCACATCGTGAGAACAGGCATCTGACAGCAGCAGCGTGTGGCCGAACAACGTGGGCGAGAGGGTGTGCATCGTGTCAGGGCTGTCAGGCATTGAGATCATGGACCTGGTGGAGATCATCAGCAGCCTGGGTAAGCAGTGAGGGCCGGTCATGTCTGCTCTCTCTCTCTTCGAATGGGAGAGGAGGTGCGGGCGAGAGGGTGTTATCATTGAGATCATGGACCTGGTGGAGATCATGAGCAGCCTGGGTATGGCGAGTGTCTTGTTTTACATCAAGCATCTGATTGGGTTCATCGTGTGACGGCTGTCAGGCAGTGAGAGCCGACAGGCAGAGATGGCTGTCTGTCGGGCAGTGCATGGTCTATGTGCCCGTGCTGCTTCGACTCATCAACAACAACCACAAGCAACTCTTTGGGCGTCTACACTCACTCTCATCTCATTCCGACCTCCAAGCCTCCCATCCCCTGCTCTGCTCCCATGCCCCCAGTCGCCATACATTCCCCCCTGGAGTACGCAGCCATGCTGCTCAGCACTCCACATGTGCCAGGGACGAGGCACGGTTGAGCCTGGGAACACCTTTTTCTGTTGCTCCTTTCCTCCCATGCCCCCCCAGACATTCCCCGCATGGAGTATGCAGCCAATGCTGCTCAGCACTTCCACATGTACCAAGGACGAGGTGGTCAAGCCTGTGAACACCCTGTTCCCTCTTCTCCTTTCCTCCCATGCCCTCCCAGACATCCCCCCCATGGTGTACGCAGCCATGGTGCCCAAGTCGGCAGCCAGGCCAGTGAAGGAGGTGGTGATTAAGCAATCATTCTCTCCTCTTCTCTCCTCCTTCCCCCTGCCCCCGCTGACATACCGCCCATGGACCATGGTGTATGCAGCCATGGTGCCAAAGTCAGCAGCCAGGCCATTGGGGGAGACGGTGGTTAAGCATGCCATCTCCCTTCTCTCTTGTTCCCCATCTCCTTGCCCCCGCAGACATCCCGCCCATGGTGTATGCAGCCATGGTGCCCAAGTCAGCAGCCAGGCCAGTAAGGGAGGTGGTGGAGGATCTGGTGGCTGACCACCGCCTGCTGTACAGCCAGTCGGAGTGACTGAGCCAATCGGACTGAGCCAGTTGGACTGACTGAGGGGGTGAATGCAGAAAATAATGCCGCTGACTGGAGCACCAAGGTGAGGGAGGTGGTGGAGGATCTGGTGGCAGACCACCGCCTGCTGTACAGCCAGTCGGAATGACTTTATGGGATTAAAGCCTAGGCCAATGAGTCGTCAAGCTGAACCCAAATATGAGTCCACCGTGCACTTGAGCACCAACTTGCGGGAGGTGGTGGAGAATCTGGTGGCGGGGCGGACCACCGCCTGCTGCACAGCCAATCGGAATGACAGAGCGCGCATGGATACTGGATGCTGGCAGAAGTGCCGTTATACCGTCATCGCCCGGATAGAAGATAGTGGTGAATTGAAGAGATTGGTGTATTTAGTTAGGGTAGATTCTTCTAAACCGGTGTTCTGGTTATAAGGTCGCAACCTTGTAGCTTGTCATGAGGTTGCTGGTTAGTAACTACTCGGAATGCCTTCTTACATTACCACAGAAAGCAACTGCAGAATCTAGCTAGATTTCAGATCGATCTTTTTTTTTTTGGAGGTGAAAATGCACTATATAATGAGATTGTACAATGCTGAACACCGCGGTCGTAACCAATTCGGGAGGGCCTAGATCGTTAAAGCAGCGGAATACATTTGGTAGGGCCAGTGCCAAAAGTTTATAAAAGGTACATGGTGGTTACCGAATTACCGAATTACAAGCCCCTCGTTTCTCGTCAAAAGAGTTTAGATGGCAAAAGTATACTAGTAATTCGTTTCCCCTGCGGGAGCTCACTCACGTAGCGTTCTTAGCGTGCGCTACTAGAACAGTCCTACCCACACCGTTGAAATTCGGAGCTTAGAGTTACGTCGTACACCGAAGGTTGCGCCGGCGCCAGCGTTAGCCGAATACGCATTCATTCTTCCGTCGCCGCTGCGTCGCCGTGTAGTAGCTTCACCGCACTGTACGTAGAAATCCCGTTGCCTCCCCACGCAGCCTAGAGTCGATCTCTGTTGCGTAATCCAGCCGCCGCAAATCGCCTTTGCATCGAGCCCCTAGTAGCGTCCTCGCCCCACCGCAACTTGCTGCCTCGTAGGCTCGCCTCAAAGCCCGTCGTGGCGTCGCCTCGCCACAAATCCGCTCGCGGCGTCGCATTGCCGCAAATCCGCTTGCGGCGTCGCATCGCCGCAAATCCGCTTGCGGCGTCGCATCGCCGCAAATACGCTTGCGGCGTCGCATCGACGCAAATCCGCACGCGGTGTCGCCTCGTCGTGAATCCCTGCTCGCGGCGTCGCCTCGCTGCAAATCCCCGCGCAGCGTATCGTACCACCAAATCCGCACGCGGAGTCGCATCGATGCAAATCCGCTCGCGGCGCCACCTATCCGCAAATCCGCACGCGGCGTCGCGCTACAAATCTGCTCGCAGCGGCGCCTCGCCGCCCCACGCTACCTCCTCACGCCACCGCGATCACGCGGGCCGCGCCACACACTGCGGGCCCTCGTGCGCCTCCCAATATCTTTAGTCCGCTGCCCTCTCCCAATTTACGGCCTCCCGATCTCCCATTACCGCCTCCCATTCTCCCCTTCAAACCTCCCCTTCTCCCCTTACCACCTCCCTGCATCCACACCTCCTCTCACTGCATCCCCATCTCCCCTCTCTGCATCCCCATGTCCCCATTATCTCCCCATCCAACCCCATTCCGCCACGTCCCTACCCGCATCGCCGCTTCCCTCCCTTCCCTGCCTTCCCTGCCTTCCCTGCCTTCCCTCCCTTTCATCTCTTCCCTCCCATCCTTCCCTCCCGTCCCTCCCGTCCCTCCCGTCCCTCCCGTCCCTCTCTTCCCTCCCGTCCCTCCCGTCCCTCTCTTCCCTCCCGTCCCTCCCGTCCCTCCCGTCCCTCTCTTCCCTCCCGTCCCTCTCTTCCCTCCCGTCCCTCCCTTCTCTCCCTGCGCTCCCTGCCCTCCCTTCCCTTCCTTCCCTCCCTTCTCTCCCTTCCCTCCCTTCTCTCCCTTCCCGCCCTTCTCTCCCTTCCCGCCCTTCTCTCCCTTCCCGCCCTTCTCTCCCTTCCCGCCCTTCCCTTCCTTCCCTCCCTTCTCTCCCTTCCCGCCCTTCTCTCCCTTCCCGCCCTTCCCTTCCTTCCCGCCCTTCTCTCCCTTCCCGCCCTTCTCTCCCTTCCCGCCCTTCCCTTCCTTCCCGCCCTTCTCTCCCTTCCCGCCCTTCTCTCCCTTCCCGCCCTTCTCTCCCTTCCCGCCCTTCTCTCCCTTCCCGCCCTTCAGTCCCTTCCGTGCCTACCTCCCTCTTCAACTCTCCCTTCCCTGCCTACCCTCCCTTCCCTCCATCCCTCCCTTCCCCCCTTTCCCATCAATCCCTCCCTTCCCTCCCGTCTCTCCCTTCCCTCCCTGTCCCCCTTCCCTCTTTCCCTCCCTTCCCTCCCTTCTCTCCCTTCTCTCCCTTCCCTCCCCTCCCTCCTTTCCCTCCTTTCCCTCCGTTCTCTCCCGTCCCTCGCTTCCCTCCTTCCCTCCCTTCCCTGCCTTCCCTCCCTAACCTCCCTTCTCTCCCTTCCCTCCCGTCCCTCCCTTCTCTCCCTTCTCTCCCTTCTCGCCCTTCCCTCCCTAACCTCCCTCCTCCCCATCTTCTCAACCCCTCTTCCCTTCCTTTCCCTGCATCCCCATCTTCCCGCCCTGCATACCTCTCTCCCCTTCCTGCTTCCCCATATCCACTGCATATTTCCCCATCTCCCCTCCCTGCATCCTCCCTAAACCCTTCCTTGCTTCTCCTCACTTATCCCCCGCCCCCTCCTGCCTCCCTTCATTCCCCCCCCCTGCTTCCCCTCATTTCCCCTCCTCACTGTGCCCTCCGCAGGCCTCCCTGCTCTACTATTCTCTCTTGTTACCTTCCCTGCCGTCCCCCCAACGCTGGAAGCGATCTCAATGTGCTTTTCCTCACATGCCCTCCAAAGCCTGCTTCTCCTCACTTCTCCCCCTGATTCCCCTCATATCCCCCCCCCCCCCCCCCCCCCCCCCCCCACCCCCCCCACCTCTCCCCACTTGATTCCCTCATCCTCCCCCCCCTCCCCGCTGATTCCTCTCATCACAGCCTGTGGTTGAAACATTACCATTTTCTTATTCCCCGCCCTCGGATTCTTTCCCCTTCCCTGACAATTTCAGTGACTGTTGCTTCAACACGCCTCACCCTATAGTACGGTATTGCTCTTCTTGGCCTTGGCCTACAGTCTAAAGTTATATGAGAACATGTTTCTTTCTACTCGTGTGTGATGTTACACCTGTCCATGCATCTTGGAAGGCCAGCTTGCACTGCTTAATCATGGTAGTACATGGTGGGCTTCATGGCCGATATCTCTAGAAATAACTCACTACCATATTTGCATTACAACGCATACGAGACAAAACAATAGTGGTGACAAACATCCACTAGTTACGCCTCTGCTTGTAACTGCTGCCTCCTCTCTGTTTCAACACAGCCAATTGGCAGAGTAGGCAAAATCGATTGTGTAAGGCCCAATGGGAAGGTGCTGAGGCAGAAGGGGAGAAGCAACAAAGGAATTCAAGCAAGTGATGGCACTACATGCACAAGAACTAGAGGGTAGACGGTGACGAGTGATTGAGGGGGGAGAGGAGGGCATGCAAGGGAGGGAAGGGAGAAGGGATGGGAAAGGGAAGGGTGGGGCAGGGAAGGGAAGGGCAGCGGGGAGGGCAGGGAAGGGAAAAACAGGAAAGAAGGGGATGAATTGGGCAGATGCGAAGGCAGGGAGAGCAGTGATGGGAAGGAAGGGATGGGAGATGGGAAGGCAGGGTTGCGTGTGAAAAGATGAGAGAAAATGTGAGGAGCAAGAACGCGGGATTACGACACTAGGAGCAAATAGCTGGCATGCTCACTGCCATGTCAGCATGCATGCCGGCGACTGCTGACGTGGCAGCAGTGGTGGCGGAAGGGGCGGCAGCGGCAGCGACGAGGGTGAGCGACGTGAATTGGGCCACTACTGTAGCCGTTTCCCTGTCTGTATCTTGAGTGACTGAGGGGGCCCAAGGGGCCAGAACGGGCGGCAGGGTGCGGCACGAGGTTGGTTGCCTCGTCAGCAAGCTATGATTTGATGACGAGAGCCATTGCAAGGCCGACAGCCAGCGCTATGGTGTCAAACACGTGCTTCACCTGCAGTAGTAGGCAGAATGGCACGGTGGGGGGCAAGGAAGGGGAGAGAGGAAGAAGGGGAGAGCAGGATTGTATATTGGACAGAAAGACAAGTTAAGTTGCGGGGCAAGGGTGGGAGAGCAGGGTTAACGGTTGAAACTCGGCTTTGTCTGCGAGTAAGGGAGTGTAAGGGCACGGCAGCAATATGTGTGCACAGAAACGCCATAACACCCACCTGAACAGCCAGGTCTCGAGTGGGCAATACAAACACCACTCTGACTCATCACACCACGTGCCCCACCAGGGCCTGCATCACTGGCAGCACATACGCCAGCGTCTACAGGGGAGGGGGAAATGACCGTATTACCCACCTGAGCAGCCAGGTTCCTGGTGGGCACACGCCCTACCACCGCCCGCACTCGCCGCACCACACGCCCTGCCAGTGCCTGCACCACTGGCAACGCATACGATAGGAAGCAGGGGGAATGCAGGGGGGGTAAGGAGGGGATGCAGGGAGGAAAAGGAGGGGATGCAGAGAGGGAAAGGAGGGGATGCAGAGAGGGAAAGGAGGGGATGCAGAGAGGGAAAGGAGGGGATGCAGAGAGGGAAAGGAGGGGATGCAGAGAGGGAAAGGAGGGGATGCAGGGAGGGAAAGGAGGGGATGCAGGGAGGGAAAGGAGGGGATGCAGAGAGGGAAAGGAGGGGATGCAGAGAGGGAAAGGAGGGGATGCAGAGAGGGAAAGGAGGGGATGCAGGGAGGGAAAGGAGGGGATGCAGGGAGGGAAAGGAGGGGATGCAGAGAGGGAAAGGAGGGGATGCAGGGAGGGAAAGGAGGGGATGCAGAGAGGGAAAGGAGGGGATGCAGAGAGGGAAAGGAGGGGATGCAGAGAGGGAAAGGAGGGGATGCAGAGAGGGAAAGGAGGGGATGCAGGGAGGGAAAGGAGGGGATGCAGAGAGGGAAAGGAGGGGATGCAGAGAGGGAAAGGAGGGGATGCAGAGAGGGAGGAGAGGAAGGAGGGATGCAGAGAGGGAAAGGAGGGGATGCAGAGAGGGAAAGGAGGGGATGCAGAGAGGGAAAGGAGGGAATGCAGGGAGGAAAAGGAGGGGATGCAGAGAGGGAAAGGAGGGGATGCAGAGAAGGAAAGGAGGGGATGCAGAGAGGGAAAGGAGGGGATGCAGAGAGGGAAAGGAGGGAATGCAGGGAGGAAAAGGAGGGGATGCAGAGAGGGAAAGGAGGGGATGCAGAGAAGGAAAGGAGGGGATGCAGAGAGGGAAAGGAGGGGATGCAGAGAGGGAAAGGAGGGGATGCAGAGAGGGAAAGGAGGGGATGCAGAGAGGGAAAGGAGGGGATGCAGAGAGGGAAAGGAGGGGATGCAGGGAGGGAAAGGAGGGGATGCAGAGAGGGAAAGGAGGGGATGCAGAGAGGGAAAGGAGGGGATGCAGAGAGGGAAAGGAGGGGATGCAGAGAGGGAAAGGAGGGAATGCAGGGAGGAAAAGGAGGGGATGCAGAGAGGGAAAGGAGGGGATGCAGAGAGGGAAAGGAGGGGATGCAGAGAGGGAAAGGAGGGGATGCAGAGAGGGAAAGGAGGGGATGCAGAGAGGGAAAGGAGGGGATGCAGAGAGGGAAAGGAGGGGATGCAGAGAGGGAAAGGAGGGGATGCAGAGAGGGAAGGGAGGGGATGCAGAGAGGGAAAGGAGGGGATGCAGAGAGGGAAAGGAGGGGATGCAGAGAGGGAAAGGAGGGGATGCAGAGAGGGAAAGGAGGGGATGCAGAGAGGGAAAGGAGGGGATGCAGAGAGGGAAAGGAGGGGATGCAGAGAGGGAAAGGAGGGGATGCAGAGAGGGAAAGGAGGGGATGCAGAGAGGGAAAGGAGGGGATGCAGGGAGGGAAAGGAGGGGATGCAGAGAGGGAAAGGAGGGGATGCAGAGAGGGAAAGGAGGGGATGCAGAGAGGGAAAGGAGGGGATGCAGAGAGGGAAAGGAGGGGATGCAGGGAGGGAAAGGAGGGGATGCAGAGAGGGAAAGGAGGGGATGCAGAGAGGGAAAGGAGGGGATGCAGAGAGGGAAAGGAGGGGATGCAGAGAGGGAAAGGAGGGGATGCAGAGAGGGAAAGGAGGGGATGCAGAGAGGGAAAGGAGGGGATGCAGGGAGGGAAAGGAGGGGATGCAGAGAGGGAAAGGAGGGGATGCAGAGAGGGAAAGGAGGGGATGCAGAGAGGGAAAGGAGGGGATGCAGAGAGGGAAAGGAGGGAATGCAGGGAGGAAAAGGAGGGAATGCAGGGAGGAAAAGGAGGGGATGCAGAGAGGGAAAGGAGGGGGTGCAGAGAGGGAAAGGAGGGGATGCAGAGAGGGAAAGGAGGGGATGCAGAGAGGGAAAGGAGGGGATGCAGAGAGGGAAAGGAGGGGATGCAGAGAGGGAAAGGAGGGGATGCAGAGAGGGAAAGGAGGGAATGCAGGGAGGAAAAGGAGGGGATGCAGAGAGGGAAAGGAGGGGATGCAGAGAAGGAAAGGAGGGGATGCAGAGAGGGAAAGGAGGGGATGCAGAGAGGGAAAGGAGGGAATGCAGAGAGGGAAAGGAGGGGATGCAGAGAGGAAAAGGAGGGGATGCAGAGAGGGAAAGGACGGGATGCAGAGAGGGAAAGGAGGGGATGCAAAGAGGGAAAGGAGGGGATGCAGAGAGGGAAAGGAGGGGATGCAGAGAGGGAAAGGAGGGGATGCAGAGAGGGAAAGGAGGGGATGCAGAGAGGGAAATGAGGGGATGCAGGGAGGAAAAGGAGGGGATGCAGGGAGGGAAAGGAGGGGATGCAGAGAGGGAAAGGAGGGGATGCAGAGAGGGAAAGGAGGGGATGCAGAGAGGGAAAGGAGGGAATGCAGGGAGGAAAAGGAGGGGATGCAGAGAGGGAAAGGAGGGGATGCAGAGAGGGAAAGGAGGGGATGCAGAGAGGGAAAGGAGGGGATGCAGAGAGGGAAAGGAGGGGATGCAGAGAGGGAAAGGAGGGGATGCAGAGAGGGAAAGGAGGGGATGCAGAGAGGGAAAGGAGGGGATGCAGGGAGGGAAAGGAGGGGATGCAGGGAGGGAAAGGAGGGGATGCAGAGAGGGAAAGGAGGAGATGCAGAGAGGGAAAGGAGGGGATGCAGAGAGGGAAAGGAGGGGATGCAGGGAGGGAAAGGAGGGGATGCAGGGAGGGAAAGGAGGCGATGCAGAGAGGGAAAGGAGGGGATGCAGAGAGGGAAAGGAGGGGATGCAGAGAGGAAAAGGAGGGGATGCAGAGAGGAAAAGGAGGGGATGCAGAGAGGGAAAGGAGGGGATGCAGAGAGGGAAAGGAGGGGATGCAGAGAGGGAAAGGAGGGGATGCAGAGAGGGAAAGGAGGGGATGCAGAGAGGGAAAGGAGGGGATGCAGAGAGGGAAAGGAGGGGATGCAGAGAGGGAAAGGAGGGGATGCAGAGAGGAAAAGGAGGGGATGCAGAGAGGGAAAGGAGGGGATGCAGAGAGGGAAAGGAGGGGATGCAGAGAGGGAAAGGAGAGGATGCAGGGAGGAAAAGGAGGGGATGCAGGGAGGAAAAGGAGGGGATGCAGAGAGGGAAAGGAGGGGATGCAGAGAGGGAAAGGAGGGGATGCAGAGAGGGAAAGGAGGGGATGCAGAGAGGGAAAGGAGGGGATGCAGGGAGGGAAAGGAGGGGATGCAGAGAGGGAAAGGAGGGGATGCAGAGAGGGACAGGAGGGGATGCAGAGAGGGAAAGGAGGGGATGCAGAGAGGGAAAGGAGGGGATGCAGGGAGGGAAAGGAGGGGATGCAGAGAGGGAAAGGAGGGGATGCAGAGAGGGAAAGGAGGGGATGCAGAGAGGGAAAGGAGGGGATGCAGAGAGGGAAAGGAGGGGATGCAGGGAGGGAAAGGAGGGGATGCAGAGAGGGAAAGGAGGGGATGCAGAGAGGGAAAGGAGGGGATGCAGAGAGGGAAAGGAGGGGATGCAGAGAGGGAAAGGAGGGGATGCATAGAGGGAAAGGAGGGGATGCAGAGAGGGAAAGGAGGGGATGCAGGGAGGAAAAGGAGGGGATGCAGAGAGGGAAAGGAGGGGATGCAGAGAGGGAAAGGAGGGGATGCAGAGAGGGAAAGGAGGGGATGCAGGGAGGGAAAGGAGGGGATGCAGAGAGGGAAAGGAGGGGATGCAGGGAGGGAAAGGAGGGGATGCAGAGAGGGAAAGGAGGGGATGCATAGAGGGAAAGGAGCGGATGCAGAGAGGGAAAGGAGGGGATGCAGAGAGGGAAAGGAGGGGATGCAGAGAGGGAAAGGAGGGGATGCAGAGAGGGAAAGGAGGGGATGCAGGGAGGGAAAGGAGGGGATGCAGAGAGGGAAAGGAGGGGATGCAGGGAGGGAAAGGAGGGGATGCAGAGAGGGAAAGGGAGGAGATGCAGAGAGGGAAAGGAGGGGATGCAGGGAGGGAAAGACGAGCGGTTAGAAGGGGGGAGAGGCGGTGGAGGAGATAGTAAGAGGGGAAGGAGGAGGCCTAAGCGTTTGGGAGAGGGTGAGCGAGTGCACGGGGGGGGGGAGCGAGTGAGCGCGGGGGGAGCGAATGCGCGCTGGGGGAGTGAGTGCGCGGGGGGGGGAGCGAGTGAGCGCGGGGGGGAGCGAGTGAGCGCGGGGAGAGCGAGTGAGCGTGGGGGGAGCGAGTGAGCTTGGGGGGAGCAAGTGAGCGCGGAGGGAGGGAGTGCGCGCGGAGGGAGCGAGTGCGCGCGGAGGGAGCGAGTGCGCGCGGGGGGAGCGAGTGAGCGCGGGGGGGGCAAGTGCGCGCGACGGAAGCTAATGCGCGCTGGCGGAGCGAGTGCGCGCGGAGGGAGCGAGTGAGCGCGGTGGGAGCGAGTGAGAGCGGGGGGGGCGAATGCACGCTGGGGGATCGAGTGCGCGTGGAGGGAGCTAGTGCGCGCGGGAGTGAGTGAGCGCGAGGGGACCGAGTGCGCGCGGGGGCAGCGAATGCGCGCTGGGGGAGCGAGTGCGAGCGCGGGGAGCGAGTGAGCGCTGGGGGAGCGAGTGCGCGCGAGGGGAGCGAATGCGCGCTGAAGTGAGTGCGCGGGAGGCGGGCGGGACGTACACCTATGGATGCAGCGTCGCGTCTGCCGGCCCAGCACTTGTCTAAAGTGCGAGTCTTGGGGTACCGTAGAACCTATTTTGCTCTAGTGATACCATAGCACCAATACTTGGAGTTTGGAGACAAGTGATACCATAGCACCAATACTTGGAGTTTGGAGACAAGTGATACCATAGCACCAATACTTGGAGTTTGGAGACGAGTGATACCATAGCACCAATACTTGGAGTTTGGAGACGAGTGATACCATAGCACCAATACTTGGAGTTTGGAGACAAGTGATACCATAGCACCAATACTTGGAGTTTGGAGACGAGTGATACCATAGCACCAATACTTGGAGTTTGGAGACGAGTGATACCATAGCACCAATACTTGGAGTTTGGAGACGAGTGATACCATAGCACCAATACTTGGAGTTTGGAGACAAGTGATACCATAGCACCAATACTTGGAGTTTGGAGACAAGTGGTGCATCTATTTTGTACCCACACAATTCCCCCGAAGTGGTGGAGGGGCTCGGAATTTTCGCCAACACTCTCGCCAAGCTGTTTCACTTTCGCTGGGGCGAAATCGTTTTGGGCACTGTAGTCAATCCAACAGTACTGCCAAATGTATACTGCTGCTTTAAACTGTACTGCGTCATCATTGCTGGTTTGGAACACGTGAAACTTACTCAATGTCATGCTTAGCTCTATCAGTTCGACCATCTGAATACAGATCCGGGATCTACTCATCAAGAGCTTGTTTATGACGCCAACATTGTGTTCACAGAGCGAACATCGGTTAGTCGTAACTGCTTCTATGAAGATCTCTGTTTTTCAGGTTAAGCAACTGTTTTTAAGCTCAAGACATTCAAGTTACTCTAAGGAAGTTAAAATGGTCGGGTCAAACCGTCGCTTAAGATGGCACCGTGAAAACAAGACAGGTTCAAGACAAAGAAGCGGAAAGTGCAAGTACAAGGAGGCTGGACAACGGAACATATTTCGTTTATCTGCCTTTGCTGCGATTCATCGTCTACCAAAGAGAGAGGAAGCTCATAGTCAAGTGCGGAGACCACCTCAATCACTAGCAGGAACGATCAAGGATGGACCAGAGCTAATTTTCCATCAGATTGAATTTATGACGTCGGCGGAACGGGACGTTTCACGAAATTTTGGCACGGCTCCTAGAGTATTTCAAGACGTTGACTATTTTCCTACTGGAATGTGTGAAGAAGGTTATTCCGACTTTAAGATTTTGAAGAACAGGTAGACAGAAGTCGATTCTGGAATTTTCCCTACGTTACAAGAAGCATATTTTCATTTGGAGGAAATAGATGACGCCGTCAGAGTGTTTCGGCGCCATGAATCAAGGCAAGCTACTCGAGGTGTTTTTCCCTCTGAAGGTGTTTTGCTCTCAGCTGCTCCTATCACACCGCTCACACAAGCTCGAACGACTGCAAATGTGATTGGAAACATTCGTCGTCCCCAAGGCCCTGTCAGGCATCAACTTCTAAGCAGGGCAATTTCTGCTGTAACCCAACTCCACCAATCTCAGCAAGGCAAGGTCAGAGCCAATCGACCAAGGCTGAAGCGTCACATTCGTCACCAAGGCCTTGTTCAGCAGCAGCGACCCAGAGCTGCTTCTGTTGCAAACCAACCTCACCAGACCAGGGAAGGCAGGTTCGGAGGAGCCAAGCCACCAAAGCTGAAGCGACAAAACCAACATGAGGAATGTATCAAGATGCTTCTGCAAGTACTGAAGTGTGACAACGGCACAATAGGTTTTTGTGGCGGGCAAGCTGAAATGTTTAGGCGTTTGGTCTATAAGCCTCCGTAGAGATCTGGGAGGGTACGGTAGTATACACTACCTATGCCCTCTAGCACCGGTTACGACCGTGGTGTTTTTGCATTGTACGTGTATAGTGCATATTTCACCTACCAAAAAAAAAAAAAAAAAAAAAATCATTGCTGGTTTGCGCTTTCTGTAACGGATACATGCTCTCTGTAATCAGTGAAGCCCCACCACTTCAAATCTACCTGACAGCATTCTAATCTCAATCCCTGCGTCCTATTTTCGCTGCGCTAAAAGCCACGAGCTGCCTAGACGCCTGCCTCGCCGCGATGCACACGTGGCTGTACCGCGTGAACGCGGTCGTCACGCTCTCCGTCTTTCTGCTCATCGGCCTCAGCGTGCTTGCGTCCCTCTCCGAGCGCCTCCACACGTCCTCCCCGACCGTCGATCTGGACGTGAGCTGGCCGATGCCTCGTGGGAGGCTTCACGCTCCTCTAGCCTAGTAGTTTCCTGGCTGCGTATCGTCCCATTCGCGACGTGATTTGTCGTGTCAACTCTCGCAGTTCCACGCTAAGTCGTTCTTAGAGCTTAGGGTTGCATCCTCGACGGGTTCGATCATGCGATCCGGTTCAACGCAGCTCAATCATGCGTTATCAGGAAAACATTCAAATCCCGTCGCGTACCTCGGCTGAGAATTCTGAAACCGAACGAGATCTGGTTGCGTTTTCGTGCAATATATGTCCGCAGCGTGAGCTAACTTCGACGCCCATGTCCTTACGTGTGCGAATTTTGCGAATTGTGCGATGCGTGCAACGTGCAGCTGCTGGACGTGGAGCACTTCTGGAGGATACCGGGCGGTCCCTTCCAGGGCAACGATGAGGTAGGCCTTGATGATGAGGTACGCCCTGAAAATACCACTCCTTGGTGGCGGTGCGTGTGGTGATGGCAGTGCTGACGTTATCCGGGCAGTCGTTATCCCTCCCCCTCCCCCTCCTCGTCCTCCCAACCCACACCTCCAACCCTCCCCCTACCCCTACCCCCTCCCGTTTCCCCCTTCCCATAACCCCTTTCTCCCCATCCCCTTCCCCGTCCGCCTTCCTCAGGCCGTGTTGACGCTCAACATCACGGCCAACCTCACGTCCGTCTTCACCTGGAACACCAAGCAGGTGCCTTCTCCTCTCCTCGCCCCACTCCCCACTCGTTTCCGCCACTCGCCCCTCCCCCTCCGCACACCAACATTTCCCCGTCACACACCATTCTTTCCCCCCGTGGCGGCCACCTGCCATGCTGCTGCTGGGAAACCCCTCTGTCGTCCCTGCCGCGGGTGGTTGCTGCTGCCACTCTGCACCTGGCTGGACCGCTCTGGGCGAGTCTGTGTCGGCAGGGCATGCCAGCACTGTCACGAGTTGCTTGTCCCACTCACTCCAGTTTACCTTCATTCCCACGACCTGCAGCCGCATGTGCCATTGCGACTGGCCAGATTTATTGCCTTTTGCGTCATCACAGGCCATTCACCTTGCTTGCACGGAGCGATGCTGGTGAATTGGAAGGAAGTTAGTGTGTTGGCTCTTGCTAGCTTGTCTCTAGAATGGAGAGGCTACAGCAGTCGTTTCCCGTGTGCTGACGTGCTGCTACTCCTGCCTCGCAAGCTACTGCAGCTTCGGAGATGCTCGTGAATTGCTCCTAATGCAACCCTGTCAACCCTTATGCGTCCCTCTGTGTCTTCCCCAGCTGTTTGTGTTTGTCACTGCAGACTTTTCAACCCCAAAGCATCCTCTGAATCAGGTGGGCCTGGCTTTCCCAGTTTCCTCATCCGACTTCACTGCTCGTCTGTTCCTCATCTCCCTCCATCCACGTTGACCCTTGTCTTGTCCACTCTGCATCATTCTCCGAGTGCATAGCCAGCTGTGGTCTGAGTGCATAGCCAGCTGTGGTCTGAGTGCATAGCCAGCTGTGGTCTGAGTGCATAGCCAGCTGTGGTCTGAGTGCATAGCCAGCTGTGGTCTGAGTGCATAGCCAGCTGTGGTCTGAGTGCATAGCCAGCTGTGGTCTGAGTGCATAGCCAGCTGTGGTCTGAGTGCATAGCCAGCTGTGGTCTGAGTGCATAGCCAGCTGTGGTCTGAGTGCATAGCTCTAATATCTTAGCAAACACCAAGGACTCACCATGGCATGGTGGTGCGTGGGTGATTGCGTGCCAGGTGTCGCTGTGGGATGCCATCGTGGAGCGCAAGGAGGAGGCAGCGCTGCAGTTCACGAGGGAGATCAGCGAGTACTCGCTCATGGACCAGGTCAGCACCAATCCACATTCACGACCAGGTTTCGATCATCCACTTGCTGCGCTGTTCAATTAGGGGGTACTTGCTGAGCTAAAAAATGACTGCAGTTCACGAGGGAGATCAGCGAGTACTCGCTCATGGACAAGGTCAGGTCACCACCAATCCACCCTTCCTCACTTCTGCAGAAGTTGGTCAGAGACGTCAGCAATCCACCCTTCCCCTTGCTGTACGCCCACTTTTCGCATTCTTCCCCTCAGCTGCCCTCCTCTCTGTTTTCCGCCCCTCAGCTGTCCTCCTCTTGTTTTCTGCCCCTCAGGTGCCCTCGTCTTCGAGCTCTTCCCTCACCAGTTATTGCATTGTTTTCCACGTTCCTTCTCTGTTCCCGTTTCTTGTCGCCACTCCCTTTTCGCACGCGCCTTTGTCTCTCTCACTCGCACATGGCAGGGAACAGCCTGAGGGGGCTGCTGTTCAACCTGACGGGCTACTGGAACGTGATGCCCATAGTTGGCGGCCTCTCCATCACGTTTCATGTCGCCAACTGCCTCTTACGCGTGTGTCCTTTCCTTGCCTCTCTCTCTCTCGCACATGGCAGGGCAACAGCCTGAGGGGGCTGCCCTTCAACCTGACAGTCTACTGGAACGTGATGCCCATAGTGGGCGGCCTCTCCATGGACCGCATCTCCTTCTCCGGCTTCACCATGCCGCCCAACTACCGCCCCTTCCACCTCCCGCGCGACCCCTCGCGCTTTGGCGCGCAGCAGCACCACATGCATGACATGCACTTTGAGCAGGACGTGGAGGGGCATGAGGATGGGGATGATGGTGAAGGGTTTGAGGTGGAGGGGCATGACGATGGGGAGGATGATGATGATGATTCTTGATTGATGTACCGTACTACAGTGCGATACCATATTCCGCTGGATTGACACCCTCCCAAATGATAAGCCCTGGGTTCAGTCTTATTAATTCACCACCAGCAAAAGGAGCAGTACCGTATGGCTCTTTCCCTCTGCTCTTTCGTAGATTCGAAAATTTATTGTGGAACTG